GGGTGGGAGGGCTTAGTGATGCACACGGGAAGAAATCTTTTCCAGGACCATTACTGTGATCGAATAAATTGATTTATAATCTTCTCTTTTGGTTTTAAAATCAGTTAAGTATAAATTCCTGGATTTTCATAGGTTGAAGCTTATTCCTTTTAATTCTAATTTTTTTTGGTTTTCTTAAAAGTATATAACTGCACGCTTCGCTTTTAGCCTTGGCTAAATCTATATATTAGCGAATCATCATTATTATTTTTTAACTGATTAATTCAATACTGGTTACTGGCCCACTTACTGGTCGGCAAAAGGTTGATTTCGTGGAATCCTCTGATATTTTAGCATCCATTTATTCTTTCTGCTACCTAGCGAGAACATGGCGGCTCCCACCAACTACAGCAACTATAACCTGTTTACTTTTCTATTTGGTTAAATTTATCGAATATTTTAACTGGAACTCAAAAACTTTAAATTCAAATTGAGATACAGATATTCGTTTAACTTATTTACTGTGCCGTGTCACATAACTGCATTTCAATTTCATCCTCAAAGGACAATTTTTTTTTTACATATTTAGTAATTAATGGTCTAGACTGAGCTTGCTTGATATTATTTCCTCTGAGGTTAAGTTTTACTATTTACTAGAATTATTTCTAATTGATCTACATTTTTGCTTTCTCTCTATTCAATTTCTTTTTTTTTTCTGATTTTATTTTGACCTTTTAAATTATTACGAGGAGACTACTATTGTACCTGTTGTTACCCACCGAGAATGGGTCCACTAATTGTGGATAACATAATTTTTAATTATTTTCAAATTGAATAAGCTGTCGTTCTTGTTGTTGTTGTTGTTTTAATCGAAAAGAGAAGGCTGTTATATATCCCCTCCGAGATCTGCATATTTCCTCACATCACAAAAGAAGCCGAATCCAATATAAATGTTTTATCATTCACTTACTTTAAAAGTGATATGCTTACTGCGATCGATGTTAAGTTACCGTCTTTATTTTAGTCCTTTTTCAAGGCCAAATGCAGGAAATAAAGGGCTGTTTGGTCTCACAGATATTCTTCAAATATAAGTTATCATCCGTTAGGTTGTAGTTTTGCTGTTCTCTCTAAATTGTGTGTAAGCAAAAGTTTGGCTATTTCTTCCTCGCGAAACGTGTTTCTTTTCCACCCGTTTTTTCCAGCTCTACCTAATCAACTAAGCTAATTAACGCAACTTCAGTGCTTCTCGGTCACCAACTCCCTTTCTAGCGTTAGCCCGCTGTACTCTTGACGTCACTGTAATTTTATTTACCGGATAATCCTAACGTCTTCCAAATTTGGTCAACGCTAGTTGATTATAAAGAATTAGCCGGGATAATGGAGCTAATCAGAACACGGGAATATTTTTTATGAATGATGAAATATATCCTAGTATTGGAGGAGAAGCTCTCAACGAACTCTTTCGAAATTTTTTGTACTTATAGGAGAGGTTATTCGCACTTTGTTTATAAACAATAATAAATCTATTTCTGAATGCAAATGTACGGGGATTCTATAGAGAACACCTCTTTATGTAGATGTAGACAAGACAGAATGACTCATTCTCTGTTAATGTAGATTAATGTCTGCACTAACCCCGCTTTTTTTAAAATAAGGCAAATTTTCTTTTGATATTTGAAACAAATGATCGTTTCTCCCTACACACTGTAAATAACTCCGCAAAACTGACACTTCTCTATTTATGGAATGTATGCACACACACAATTGCCAAATCCATACCATAAGTAGACACCTCCATATTGCTGAGGCTTTGATGTCGATATAATAAAATAGGATTTACTTTATTTTCAAATTTTCTACGGCATCATTTGACAATGAACACTATAGAATGCGATCAACTCTTACTCTTCCGCTTGGCTACCAAACCTTTCCGAGAAACGAAGAACGGAAAATACAAAAAACAACGAACAAGAAGGGTCAGGTTGTCTTATGCATTTTCCTTTTTGTCTTAGTGAATACTTTTTATCTTTCAGGACTTGTATCGCTAGTTGGTTTATTAGGCAACACCTTTGTCATTTCAATCATCGTATCAAGTCGTCGTCGCGGTCAGCGGTCTAATGTGCAGCTGTTTCTTCTGCATTTGGCCATTTCTGATCTGCTTGTATGCATAGTTTGTATACCGCTGACCTTATGGGTCAATTTTTATTACCCGGATGAAGACAAGTCCGGTGCTAATGGTGTATGTAAGCTTGCAAGGTTTGTCCAGGTGAGTTAGCAAAAGGGTAATAACTCAGTTACAATAAAGGGTAAATAACTTCTGATTAACTTGCGATCAGGCAGTCCTTCTTCCCTTTTTATTTTCGCGCTATCCCCGAAAAAAGAACGCCTGATCGCTGTTTAGTTTCCGATTTCCTTAATTGATCGCTTAGTAAGACCAGGCCCCCGGTACAGCACAGCACTAGCGTAAATCGCAGCACTACCGTAAATCCTCTATTAAGGCCTCTCCCCTCTTTTATAAGTTCTCAGTTTTCAGAGGAAGAAAGTTAATAAGCTCTTTTAAGCCCAGCCTCCCCTCCATTCACTAATAAATTATAGACTGTATTAATCAATCATCACTGTAAAACTTCGTGTAGACTGATCTGGGAAATTTTTTATTTCGTGACCTCCAAGTGCTCCAACTTCTTGTTCTTGAGCTTTTCCACTCTGCATTCTCGTTTTTCGTGGAGACCAAGAGCCATAATGGGAGCCATTATGGCTCTTGTGGAGACTGATTCCTCCATCACGGAGGGTCCTGGGTTCGAATCCCATCTGGGGCTCAGATTTTTTCTGTGTCCTCTTATGGTTGATTCTTTACATCTCCCTTTATTTTCCTTTATGATTCCATCGTCTTCTTAAAATTAAATACGCTTCCCCGCCCCCTCGAATTTGTTTGAGATAAATAAGCCCTCCCGGGGGCATAGTACAGGATTTACGGTATTTTTCTAGGTCAGTTTTGGCCTGCAAGGCGCAAAAAAGCTATAAACCGGAATCTGTTATTGTGTGATTTTATATAATTCGTTGATTCGGTTTTGTTATTATACATGTTTATGGTTCTCATTGAGGCTACAAAAATTTCCCCACTTGAACTTGACAGGAATTCCTATTTTTTTTTTTTTTTTAGTTTCTGGCGCCGTCAAGCTCCATATGCTTGTTAACTGTGATCAGTATTGATCGTTATTACTCCCTGGTTCGCCCTTTGCAAGCGATGAAAACTTGGCTTCGTCCAAAAATTCTCATCACAACAGCCTGGATTTATGGAGGCGCCATATTTCTTCCCACATTTTACTTTGCCGAGACTGCGAAAGTATCAACTGAAAGCCAAAGCTTTTGGTATTGTGGCACGATTCCTAACAACACCCTCCCTGGTTTTGTATACCTAATTTTTCTTTTCATCTTTGGTTTCGGAATTCAGTTGATTACCATAATAGTCCTCTATAGCAGAGTAGGCAAAGCAATCTGGAGCAGAGAGAGAAAGATTTCTCGTACAGGAACAGTGTCCAGAGCAAATGCAGAAACTATGGACAAAACAAGGAAAAGAGTGACACGTATGCTTCTAATTGTTGTCATATGCTTTCTTCTCTGTTGGGCACCTTTTGTTATATACACTGGATTTATCGAGCGTTGGGTGGCTCCATTCCCAAATCCTGCAGATCCTGTTCGAGTTATCACTTATGCTTTTGGCCTTTTTAATTCAGTTTGCAACCCGTTCATTTATTTTTTCAATAGTCCAAACTTTCGAAGGGATTCTTTGCGGAAAGTTTGTTTGGAAACGATCACTTCAGGCGGAGATCAAGATCATAAGCATAATTATTCTGGCAGTAGCACAAAGAATTCCGTAGTGAGTAGAACAGACACAAAGGTGAGATCTCGTACAAGCACTGTCAAAAATGACCCGGCCGGGAAACTGACCAAACAAGTCAACATCAGCAAGGTGAGCCATGACAACGGCCAAGGAAACCTTGAACGTTCAGAAAACGTTCACTTTTCTTTCGACAATAAGACATTTGATACCAAACTGTAAAGCACGTTGCATAAGTGCCATTCTTAAAAGAGCAATAATTTACAATGTTCAACTTACATATGCTCTCAAGTACAGTATTGCCCAGTATCTGACCGGTACCAGTATTCGGCCATTTCAAAAATAATTTCAATTTTTGCGGCGCTTCTAAGAATTTATGGTAATCGAAGTATTCCGAAAGGAAGACAAGCTGAACATTTCAGCTTTAAAATGCAATTTGCAGTGCAATGTGTAAATTTTTGAAGGCCAATGTTTACGCTTTTCTTTGCGCGGTCAAACTGTATCGCTGTTCAAATAAGGGTCTGTAAAATGGGATATTTTCAAAAAAACTGTCACTGTTATAGTCTTAGAGAATATGGAGGTCTTTAGAGGCAACCGTACTAATCGTATTATGGTCTATTATATACAAGCAACAATAGTATTTGACAATACTGAGTATATGGTATGAAGGGGAATTTTTCAAGCTGCAAGGAAGGAAAATCTACTAAAGCCGGAGATTGAGACGGCTAAACGTCCTGCGACACCTGCATCAGTTGTTCTTCAATATCATGCGAATTCAAATTCAATAACTATTCAAACATTTGTTCAAAGTATTTCCAAACTGACATCATTCTTACCTTTGAGTAGAATTTTTTTCTCAAACATTTTTATCCAGTCCGTCAGCAGTTTTCCGAAATTTTTTCGAGAGGCTTTTGTGACCTCTCGCTATATATTTTTTAGTTAATTCTATAATTTGGCTATTTTGTCCTTGCTAAGCGTTTAAAATCATCCGTCCATTTTCTCGCGCTCTGGCTCTGCACTGCCAACCATGCACAAAACCACCGCTGACTGTTGCACGACGTCACTCGTCCAATAATAATAATAATAATAATAATAACGCGAATATTTATACAGGATAACCTATCAGTTCTAATAAAAAGAACTGTTATCAAAAGGGTCCTGTAATTATCTCATAATTAGCTAAAAAATAAAAAATAAAATCGAAAAAGGAAAATAGAATAAAATAACACTAAGAAATCTAAGATTTAAAAATCAAAATCTGTAAAAATCATCGACTTACAAGACTGAAAAGAGTTATGAATTATGGAATACTATTGAAAAAATTGTTTTAAATTACTCTTAAAAAGAAACCTAGAGTTTACAGTTCTTAAATGCCGAGGTAAAGTATTATAAACTAGAGCCCCTTGAAAGGCAAAACTTCTCCGTCCAAATTCTAATTTGGTTTTGGGAAGTTTTAGTGAACACCCATTGTTTCTAGTGTTAATGTTGTGTTCAATTTTTGTAAAATATCGTTTAAAAGGGGTACAGACATTATCCTGAAGACAATCAAACACAAGCTGGCAGGACTGAATAGAATAGTTTTATGTTATGGCAAAAATGATGTCAATCGACCAAATATTAAACACTAGGCGGCGAATCCCGTAAACTTTTCTTTTTTGGCCAACGTTAGCTCCTTATTGACCGTTATTACCAATTAGCTAAGAAATTTAAAGCAATCAGAGAAGAAGACATTGTGAATGAATAGAATCCTAGAGTCACATTTGCGAAGACGTCCTACAATAATTGCTCCCAAGTTTTGTTTCTTTACAACGGCCCATTGTGTTGAGACAATACTTGAGATACATCTTAGTTTAATATGGCTATGTCAATTCAGCCCCTGATTTATGCTCTTGATAACATTTATATTAATTCAACCTTCTCTTAGAAGGGATGTGATTTCGATTCAACTGAACATTTTAACACGTGCAAAGTTCACTAAGCCCAAAATCAGATGCTTTGTTTAGAAAAGACAACATTAAGGAAATATTGAACTGATACATACTTTAAACTTATTTTAAAGTTTTCATCGGACCCCTGTTGTTCAATAGGTGGATAATGCTCTCTAGCCACCTCCACTTCAGTGAATAATTGTTATCGATTTATCCGATGGATGGCGCTATCCAACGTTTGAAAAACCGGGCCCCGGACTTATATTTAGTTAGTATATTTATATTTTAAGTTCATGAGCATTCACTCTAAAGAGTATAAATATTAGTAACTGTTAAAATGTTGTTATTTGAAGTGTTTTTCAGTCTCAGTGTTAACCGCACAGTACTAACACTGTTAACAGTAATATGGACCTCAGAGAATCCACGTTCACAGAATGTACATGCAAAGAAAAAGAAACAAAAACTCATTTTCTTATACTATTTTATAATGTAAGAGTAGGCTCTTATCTGCACTAGTACTGCTACAGGTAGAAGGTTTTTTGGCATTAACGCCACGCCCCTTCCCACGTGATGATGATGACAAGTCTGATGGTGGCGATAATGACGATGATGCTGATGATGATAATGATGATGACGATGACACTTAAGAAGTAGTAAGTCTTTCAGAGAGCAATGATTAATCATTTGAATCCTAGCCAAAATCATGTGAGTAGCCGAGGCCTTTTACTTCGGTCTTAACTTTGCCTTCAGTAACACAGAATGGTTAAAAACGTCATAAACGTTTACACTTTTATGACAAACGATTTGCTTCTTGGCTGAGTTGGGTAAATTTTCTGGCTATGCCACATCGTCGCTGTAGAAGGTCGCAACGTGAATTGAAATAGCTGTATATGCAAATATTAAACGACTGATATCATCTCTCAAACCGCTGTTTACTCTTCCAAATTAACCTACATTTTAGTTAGTAACGGCTGCTATTAAGCATAATAGAGTATCAAATATATAAGAAGTTTGTCCAGTTGGTTACAAACTACATTTATAAATTATAATCGATACTTTAAAACTTTGGGTTGAACTTTAAAAAAGCACATTTCAGTGTTTAACCAACAAATTTGAATGTATATCAGTATATTATAATGGGTATATCTAGCCTGATTTTTGAAAACGTTACCGTCAAATAGACCTCTTCCATCAATCAGTTTTTTTTTTCGGTCAATGTTATGCCCGTTGCCAATATAAAAACGAAGGCTGCAACCACGTACTGCTTTTTTCCGATTCTCTTCTCCTGCTGGCTCTTTCTATTTTTCCCTTCCATTTCCTTCGCTGGTGTGATTATGGAGCTTATCGGACGCAAGAAACCTTGCCTTTTGGCCCTTCTTCAGTCAAATGGCTGCAAATTTCGCTAGGTTCGTGTTCAAAAAATCGGCTAGATAAACTATATGATAGCAATATTTATATATCAAATATGACATTTATTTGCATATGTATAAGAAATAAAGGTTACTAAGTCTGCGTGGCCTATTAGGTCAGAGTTTATCTCAATTTCCGTTTCTGTAAAGCCACTAGATTTTTTTTTAAATACCTCCCCCCACCCTCTCCGCTAGGCGGAATTTTAGTCTTTCGCGGCTTGGTTACCCTCTCGGTAACCAGTTCCCGGCCCAGCCCTGGTGAAAAGGGACGCGCGGTCGGAACATTAGAAAAGTTATGGGGGCGGGTCCTTAACATTTTCCTTGTGTGAATTTTTTTAGGCCAGTGCATGAATATTTTTTAGGGTAAAATGGCGTGCATGAATTTTGTTTTCAGTTGATTTTCCCTCATATGAATATTGTTTTTGTGGTCCTCCCCCCCCCCCCCCTCTTGGCGTTTATCTATCATTTATTTTTTTATCACAACATAACCCACACACACGCAACGAGGCATCGCTTCCACACAACGACAAACGAACCAAAAAATACCAAAAAAAGAACCAAAAAAAAAAAAAAGAAAGAAAAAAACAAGATACATTAATTATTTTGCATCCCCATTATTTTTGTTGAAGTGAAAATATGTAGCCAACAAATCTCACCATCTTTAGAAACTTCCTGGCAAGAAGTGCATTATATGCATTAATACCCTACGAAAAAGATAAATAAGCATGGTTGTAGTTAGGAAATCTTCAAACGTCTGTAAAAATGACTGCACTCTAGATTGAAATACAGACAAGTACAGTATNGAGTGTATCGTAGAATCGTGCGAAGGCAGCAAGAAGGTACAATAACTAAACAGCTTTTAGTGCAAGTATCTAAACTGTTCCTTTTGTTTCTCTCTCCGCGACCCCCCCGGCCCCCAGTTTTCTTTTTTTTTTATTTATGCCCCTTTCCAGCGCTAGTAGCGTGGGAGTGTGGGGGGGGGGGGGGGGGGGGGGGGGGGGGGGGGAGGGTAGCGTGAGCTTTCGAAGGTGTATGCACGGGACGAAAAGTTAGACCGCCGAAGGCGTTTTAAATTAGGGGGTTCTGGTGGCATGCTCTCCCAGAAAATTTCTAAGTTAAGGATTTCGGAAATGCCATGAATACGAAGGGAAATGTAGTAGTTGGTTGTTTATTTTACCCATTTCTAGTGTTATATATGGGTAAGGTGCAGTGTTTACAGGTAAAAAGGGGAAACAGTATCAAGTAGGTTACAAGCAAAGGGAAAGGCGTCTACCCTTCAAACTATGGGTTGATTTCCACTGTCGCATAATTTTTCCATGCGAATGCACGCGGGTAAAATTTACGTGCTTAAATGAAAAAGAGGCAGTGTATGAAAGGCTACGCGAAGACGTAAATTACTAAAAGTTGAGCGACGTGCAACTTTTACGTTTACGCGTAGCCTGCCATACAGTGTCTCTATTTTTTTCGCTCGTAAACGTAGCAGTTGAACCTCGCAGAACCCGATTTCATGATACAAAGGTTTTCGCCAACGAAGTAAAAGAAATGTTGTCAGATTTCATTTGTTCACACGGTCGTAAAAGCGCATATGGACGCTACTCCCCCAAACGAGATCTATAGTCACACAATTTTTCCATCGTAATAGAGTGACTTCGATCTACCGAAACAATTTTTTCTTCCTTTCGGACGGGCAAAATAGCTTTGGAAACCAAATGACCGCTATTCTTGTCTTTCATGCGTCTTTTTCAATATCCTCTAACATCAACACCTCCATCTCCCTCCCTCTTCCGCCTTCTCCACTGGTATTCCAATTATTAGAAAAGAAACAATTTGTAATTTTAAGTTGGCGAGGATATAACTTTTCCTTCTTGCGTAATTCGCCGACTTTCACACATCTCTTTTTTCTGCTGGAGAGATGCAAGGGTGGACCCTTCCACAAATGTGACCCCGGCTCAAAAAAAACTAAAACTCTCGACGCAAATAGAGGACAGCTGAGGACCAACAACCAACTCTGGATCCAAACTAGCATATGAATATTATCAGAAACCCCTTATGAGTTTCTGATATGATCTAATTCTCATACGGTTCCAAAGAACACTTTAAACTTTTTATGAAAAGGCGTCGACAGTCGACAGTCCCGATAACTCGAACCCTCGCTAACTCGAACCAAAATCGATTTCGCCTTGATTTCCTTCATACATTTACTGCACTTTTACCCTCGGTAACTCGAACCTTCCGCTAACTGTAATTTTTGTTTCCCTTCAGATCATTTCTATATAATTTTACCCTCGATAACTCGAACCACATTTTAAGCACACGACAAGTCGAAAAAAAAAATTGTGCCGCAGTCCGAAATATTGCATTTAATTCAAAACAACCATGCCTTCCTGTTTCAAAAATCAATGTGATCATGAAGTGCGCATGATACTTGCATTCCTTCCCCATGCCACTTCCCTATTTCTGGTTATTTGCTTCGAACTCTTTTTGGAAGGTTGGAGTTATCGATGGTCAACTGTATCCATTACCCGATTTGTTAGCAGGTTGTTTTGGACCAAGTTGCCCTAAGAAACGACACGCGTGTTATGTCCGAAACGAGTCCGTCTACATTTGTACACGCACACACACACACTGATGGGTCCACGGCTGTACCCATGCTTAAAACGCTCACGTGTGGACGGAAGTAATACGACTGTATGTGTCTACAAACTCAAACCTACTCGTTGTGGACACAGGTAAATGGAGAAGCATCCTCCGAAGTCAAAACAGTTCTGGTAAACAAACTCAACTAGACGACTCCAGTTTATTAAAACAAGTAAACGAGTTACAGTTTTGTTTTTCTTCTATGAACGTACTGTATTTTTTGCAAAGAGAGTACAGGCTTTGAAACAAGTACAGTTCCTAAAATGCTAAAATGACCTGATCAAAATAGGCCCCTCATGTTCTAAAACAAAAAAAGGAAAAGTCACACAAATGGATTTGGTAAGCAAGCCCAGTATATTTTCAGATTAGTGCGCACAGGAATGCACTTATGTTGTGAGAAATGCAACGCCGTTGGCCTTTATTTAAAAGTGTTGTTGCCGAGCTTGAATAAAGGCCAATTTACACAAAACGGTCCTGGATAGCTAAACAAGCTTCGGTTACCCTAACAAGCTTTTCATATAGTGGAAAACTAAAGGATAGATGGCTGATACAGTTCGAGCCTTTTCTGATCTGACGGGACGCTAAACAGGTGGTTACACGTTTCACTCAAATTGCTAATTTTCTAAAAGTACATACTATTTGGGAAAATTTAGGTCATAGGATATGGAAAGCTAAACTTCCTGAACAAAACATTTGTATTAAGATTGTTAATATTGATTGGGGAGTTTAGTTGGAGTATGGCCGTCTTCCTGGACTGTCCCCTGGGCGTGGTGACAGAGAGCGTCCACGTCCTGCCAAAGGAGAGCGTGAGTGACGTCTAACAGGTGAGCGGGACCTTCTAGGTGAGCGAGATCTGGACCTGCTTTAGAAACACAGAGTTTACAGTTAGACTTCTCTTCAGTGCATAAATCACTTTACAATGCCATCCGGACACTTTGTTCCATGGTCATTTCGTTCCATATTATCGTCGCATTGTTGTATGCGAGAGCCTGCTTGTTCCCCATAAAAATCAGAAGCGAGGGTCAGAAAAACGAATGTAACAACCAGTTCTTGAGATGTGGACGAGTGTCAGAAAAACCAAGTATAGATCGTTTTCACTCACGTGGTCATCAACTATGCAAATTAGTTGGACCAAGAAAGTTTTAATACCCTCAGGATTTTTTCTGTACACCAACATGGCCGCTGTTCCATTGGTTTGTACACCAATATGGCCGTCATGTGAAAACGGTCTATAAGAATCACTCAGTTCATGGCAAGTAAGTATGTACCAGAGAAACCAAGTATGTCGGTTAAATTAACTGCCACATCTGTTAATGAACCCTACTTGCGTTGGTGCCTAAGTATTTCTCGCTCTTTATATTCGCTAGCATGGAACAATTTGACTCGGAATCAAGTGACTGTACAGCTCTACAGTACCGAGTCAATGAATGTTTACCTTGCACGGCGGCGTGGTGATAATGAGCGAGACGATCTTCGTGGTCGACCTCTCTGTAAGACATAAAGAAAAATAAGAAAGATTGGTTGTGCTGATGTTCTGTTTATGCTAAAAACCAAACACACACAAACAGAAGCAAGGAAGGGAGATAAGAGAAAACCAAAGAAACTTTTATTAAACATTTAACAACTAAAATATCTCAGACAAGGCAATGAGCTACCCTGCACTTCAGTCTGCCAACAAACCTCAGTAAGCCGAAGACGCTTTCCCATTAACTCTGTGCCATCCAAGCGTTTAATAGCTCTTTGCATGTCATTCATTGATGCAAACTCAACAACCCTAAGAACAAAAAAAGAAAGAAAAGGAATAAACCAAACTACATTTTACATAAGTATGAAATATATAAACACCAATGAAAAGGAAGGTGATCTTTTGCAAGAAAACTTAATAATTAATAATATTCTTTCGTGAAAAGGACATGTCATCTTCACACGTGCAAAATAAATTTAAGTGAAATGGTTTGATATTTCATTGGTGGTTATATAAAAAGGGACATTACATGGTCGCTTGGGGATACAAAATATCTCTATGAGTGTTGAAAAGTATTTTTTAACATGAGAAAAGACATTTCATATCTCCTTGCCGCCATATACTATCCTCTATATCTATGTACGTTGTGATACAACTTTTAGTGGTAAATTCAAAGACAAATTGTGCCTGCATGTTTCGATATTGACACTTGTTTTAAGTTTACAGAAATGGGAAAATCGTTGAACAAGTTATTCTAAACCCTGATGAGGACATAATTACATTAGCAAGACACTACTGAAATCCTTTCAAAAGTGGCCAATATTATTTTCAACATTTTTAAAAATTTTTTCAACATTTTTAACATTTTTCTTTTAAAACATTAATTATCATGAAACAGTACGGACTGGCAAAGGGGTTTCATTTGAAATGTCAAATCATCCGTGCACTCAGAAGTTAAAGGCACCTTGCAAGACTCCATGATCATTTACTCAAAGGGTTTAAGATTGCCTTTTGCACAGTGTAGTAATAGTTATTATCTTACACCACAAGTTGGACTGAATCTTGAAAGCCAACCTACCCTTCTCCTACTCTATCTCTGTGGCACTGAACAAAGGTCACTTCTCCTGCCTGTCGCATGTAATCTTTCAAATCCTGTAAAAGAACAACTCCTGAATCATTAATCTTTACAACACAAACCATCTTACCACACAATGGTAGTAAGTGGATAGTTTCAAATGTGTATGTTGAAGGGGCTGTGTGACAGCAGCGGGCTGTCTGGTTCATTTTGTACACAATACCAATTACCTGTCCTTATTCGCTAATAACGGTAGTATTAAAGGAACTTGAGAAATTACCAGTGAATGACAAAATCACTGTTTCTCCTCAAACAAATATGTCTCCCAAGCAATATATTAAATGTTACAAACAACAAAACTGAACTTTGAAAAACTCTTAGGCTGACAAATTTTCAAAAACCACAACTGCAATCCTTTTCAATCTTCATCAACTTTTTGTCCATCTGTGCCTCCTTTTGAATTCGCTGTTATTTAGACCTTCTTTGAATGTTTTCTGCAAGTATTTTTATATTTCACCCAGTTTGATGGTCGTTCTTACTGTTTGAATTTCAATTGACAAATTTGGTGACACAGCTCCTTTAACATAAACTGAAACTAAATTGAAGATAACTAAATTGAAATGTTTCAAAGCATATGCTGGCTTACAAAATAACGGTATCTCTGACAACAACGTTCTAATAATAAGAAAGTACAGTACATACTGAAAATACCATGATTATAAGACACCGGAAGGAAGTCTGTATTAAGTTACATAAACCTTACCTTTGTACAACTAGCTATTAAGACCAAGACCAAAGATGCTTTATGAAAATTGCATGGGGATTTTTACCCAGTGGATAACCAAGGCGTTCATGCCATGACAGCTGAGAATCTCAGTTCAGCTTGCAAAACAGCACCAGTAGCACCAAGGTAAACAGGGCCACTCACCAAGTTACCAGACCAGGAATCGAATGATCAATGATGATCAACACAATCTTAAAGGCGGAAGGCCAAGTGCCAAATTTTTGCCACAGCCAATAATTTCCCCCTTTTAACGTACAGACCAGATTACAGACCAGGAATTGAAATCTCACTAAACCATCTCCCATAAAGTATTCTACCACTACTGTAGCTAAAGGTGAGAGAAATGCAAGGAAGAAGTTACTAAAATAAATCCACTGGTCTAATGATCTGTAAGTTTTCAGTAACAGCCTCAGCAAAGCTCCAAAGACTAAACAATAAACATAGGCTTGGTATGTAACTCCACATGGCTACTATCATTCTATTAATGTATCCTCCCACTATTACTGTCATGACACCAACATGATGATGCTAACAAATGTCAGAAGGAAAATTACAATATTCTGTACAATTTGGTGCCAGTAAAAATCATAGCTACAATTCAAAACTGAAGAAGCAGGAAAAACATGTAAATACCCTGCATTAAAATCTTCCAACTGGGAAAACATTGTTATGATCAAGGTGATAATTTACTGATATTGCATTTTGGTTAGACATAATCAAAGGAATGTAAAAGTTTTTAGTGTACATTCAGGTAAACAATGAACCTCTCACAAAACCTCAATGATGGCTTTTACTTGAGATATGTGCAAATCTTTGAATAACAAAAAATAATTATGAATTGTTCAACCCATGATTGGAAATAGAAGTGATGACGGTTTAAAATAAAATCAAGCCTATTTAAAGCGTCTCACTTGAAAGTCAAATACAATATTTGGGTAAGGGCTATGTGTATTTTAGTTGGAAACAACATCAAGTCTGTGAAATCTTACAGTTAGGAGTAGTTTATTCAAACGAGGGGCCATTTTGTTTCAGTAAATAAACAGTCAACAGTATAGATGCCTTCATTTTTTTTTCAGCTCAATTTCTAGCCATGTGCATGGGAATTGGTTGGTTTCTGCCTCAAAAAGATGTACAAAATGTGCACTTTCAACAAATTTCCACAGTGCATGTGCAATCTACAAAGAGCATACAGCGAAAAAAAACCTAGACACAAATGTCAATTAAAAAAACAAAAACTTAGCCCTGCAATGTGCTTTAGACATTACCAGTAAAAACTGCAACCACTTGTTCTCTTAAATATATTCTGTCAGTCTAACTTACACCCTATCTCAGAGGTAGCTTACTTGTGAATATAAAAAATGACACATTCTGACAAAATACAGGGTTTGAAATTTACTTTTATGTCCAGTTGCCCCTGAGGCAACCACAAGACTTGGTTTGGTTGGCCAAGGAATATTTTGGTTTTCCAAGTCAACCTCTTAGCCAAGCCCAATCCAAGAAAATATAACATTGAGGTAGCTCAAGTTATTAAGAGTTTTATTAGTGACTGTTTTTCACAATAAAAAATTGATGTGCCTCACTTGTTTCATGTGTTTTTTCTTTTATCCCTCAAGGCGAAAACAGTTGCTGCCTTTTTGGCTTCCAAATGGGGATTTATCTTTCGAAAACCGTCTGTGATAACTACAAAACAAACTGTTTTCTTTTGCAACAAATTACAGCCACGACAGCATAGTCCTTGCTTGGAAGAATACAGTGTATGCAAAAAGAACTCTCTTGAGCACCCTGTTTTTCCTTGCGCCCCTTACTACGTAGTCCTCCCTGACTCTTAAAATGTCTGATAATGAACACTTTTCCCAAGCTTTCAAATTCTTGCACCCCTACTGTGCTGTAGCTATGTATTCCAAATTGAAGTAGTGAAGGAGGCTCGTACATTTTGTATTTTACAACTGCACAAAGAATCAACAGGCTATAATGTATATATACGTTTACATACATAGCACAGCAACACAGGCTCATAGTTGTCTGGGGCAACTGGACAACTGTTCTTTTCGTACCCTGAACGTTATTTATGAAGTAATGGTGGGGTTTTGAAATTTTGTTAACATACATGTACGTCTAGTAAATTAAATGATTACACACATGTTTCCTCTTAAAAAATCCACTGACTTGACTTTCATTTTCCCCAAACATTTTATTTTGGTGCACCACAAAAGGAGCAGGCAAGGCTGCTGTAGCACTGCTATTTACTTTTCCCAATCAATGCATATAAATATTTTGGTCATAACAAGAAGTTTATTAGCACATAACAGAGAGGAAAAGTAATGAAGGACAAACAGACTACAGTAGAACTAAACAGCTTTCTAGCTTTCTGATCAAACCAATTAACAATAATGTTACACTGCAAGTGCAAGTATTAGCAAACACACTTGAAGAAGCTACAACTTTGCTAGAATAAAAAACACTACATGCAAGTGAAAAGGTAAATACTATTATTACTGTACTGCATATTATAGCCTAACAACAAAACAGTCACAGCGTACTGTACATTTATCAGATTGTTTGGAATTCTCACCTGCCAACTTGCACGGGATGATAGATTATCCACAGTTACCTTCCACTCTGTGTTGTATGGTGCACCATATCTACCAAGCATGCACAAGTGAACACAACAACCACATATTACAAGACCAAAGCAAGTGATCAAAAAAGCATGAATGACAAAAACCACCACAGAAGTCTACAGTGCTATACAAAAAAATCCCATAAAAGCTACATGTACAATCTAGGAAAGTTTTTGAGAAGTGTTAAAGAAAATATACACAATGTAAAATTGCATCACAGAGAATTGATTTAAGACTATGATGGATAGGCAATAGTTTTCCATGACACTAAATGACCATTCAAAAAGGGTTAATATGTTGTGGTTTATTACTTTTCTTTGTTTTTGTGTATGGTAACACAATGTTAATGACAATGAGTATAGCTTGGAACATGACCGCTTTAAACACCTCACCAATTTTAATTGCCACAGTTTCTATCTACTCTCTGTAGCAGCTAAGTTGGTTGCAGCTTGGAGCACTGCCACAATGTTTTATGGCAAGAAATCTGTAATTTCTGCACTCTGGTATTTTCCTTCAAAAGTTGCTTGCAGCCATCAAATTTGTTTTTGCCCATTCTTACCCTGGAAATGTACTCATGTTGTAAATGAACAATGCAACAATACTAGCTGTACAGATATACTGTGTACTATAATGCAACACTGCACTCTTCTTTCTTCCAGGACTGGATGTACATGTAAACTGAATCCCACTGCTGTACAGGAAAGGAGATTATACGAGATGCTTCCTATCCTACAAACCTGTCTCGAAATCTAAATCCACCACCTCTTCTCATTCCACTTCCTCCTCCCCCTCCTCCACCCCCACCACTACTTCCACTTCTTGATGTTGGACGAGCATGTTCCACTGTTATCCTAAGGGGCAAAAGGCAGTGAACTTAGACAGATGACTTTAACAAGTCAGGTGGAAATCCAAAAAGAGAGAATGAACTAAATGCCAAAACAAGGTAAATAAGCAAGGTAAATAACTTTTGTGTGGGCAAAAAGGAAATAAGGGTCACAAGCAAAATAAGTAATGGGTGCAAGGTAAGTGATGTTACATGAGAAGGACACAAAAAGGAGAGGGTAACACCTGCCCAAAAGGCATAAATTATACAAAAATAGACTGTTCTACTTTCTGAGTGAGCAGAGAATTTCTGTTAGCCAACAACATCCCAAAAGAGAAAAGGTAATGCATTTGTATGGCAACCAGAGAAACAGGTCCTATGATCTACAGATGTAAAAACATTTGAAACCTTTTGTCTTTTTTTTCTTTTTTCTTTAACAGATAACTAAAATGAGGCTCTTGGTAAATAGCTTATTGTTGGTCATTACGATTGAATGTTAATACAATGTACTTTCCTAAATTTGCAACTGTGTGAATGAAATAATTATTCTGTTTACATTTGAAACAGACAGAAGGCTTACTCCTGTAAAGCCCAGCCAAATGTGGATGGCATGTAGTGAAGCATTAAAAAATGAGGTTTCTTTATTATAATAATAATAATTGTATAACTATTATACAATGTACAAGCAGCAGATACAGTACATGTAACTAATACTTGACCCATTCAGTATTTAATTAACTTGCATACATAAACCTTTACTTAGGAGTTGTAAGTTTAACTGTCACATACATGTAGCTCAAAGAACCACAGCATGTAGCCTGTTTACCCGGCTAACAAATTGTCTGCTGTGTTTTGAAAAAAATATGAAATTTTCAAACACAAGGTGTGTTTTATCTCACATAATAACAATTGTTGACTGGTAACAGTATGGTAGAGGGGTTATAAATGATTTTTTAAGGTTTCTTGGATAGGTGCATCCTCTCCCCCCACACGTATCCTTCACCATCCTGCAACCCTCCAAGTTAGAGTTTTTGCTCAGTTGCCATTTGGCATCCAACTCTTTTGGTTTAAGGAGAGTTTTCACAAATCAAGCCACCAGCTCCAAAATCTTGGGCACAATGGCGAGCAAAATGTTAGCAACTTGGAGGGTTGTCCTGGTCAGTGTCACCATTCTTATTTGCACCTTAATTGTATCAGATGCCTGCTACACTTGAAAGGTAACTTTATATTGCAACATAGGGCCAAGACCACAGGCCAACTTCACATACACTCATGTGTCTAGTTACGTATTGTGTACCTTTCTCCCAGAAACTCTTTGTGATTCAGTTCATAAACAGCATCATCAGCATCCTTGTAGTCATCAAATTCCTGGCAAGGAAAGAAGTACGTTTCAAGAAACTTGCATGTAAGAATTAGCTAGTGTGCCCAATGCTTAACAACCACCTTTACATGTAAGTCTGGTATATTAATAATAATAATAATATTTATTGTCTAGATTGCATATATTTTATAAGACTGCATAGAGATATATGCACATAAGGGTTGCATTACAGGATGCTATAAATCCTTTATTACTATTGGAGCTGTTCAAATGGTGGGTTTGAAAAGGGAAAGGAGGGACTGGATTGAAATTACACTTTCGGACAGTAAGCAAAGGATGGCAAGTTAAGGGGCATTGACAAATTTCAAGTTTTTCCTATGCAGGGGGGAATGGGATTAAGATCAAAGTGCATGAGGTTCCCAACATGACACAGATTAGTAATGAACACATAGAGGTCAGGAAAACTAAGTACTTTCATTTGCAAGGCCTGTCATTTTTTGGATGTCAATCATGACAGGGGGACTAGAAAACTGAGATGATGATAAAGTTCACCAAGTGTTGAAAGAAGCAATTTTCTTTAACTGAGATAGATCTGAAGTGTAAAAATGATTTTTAAAATAAGAGAGACCACACCTAACCTGACAAGGAGGCAGCCTGGTCGGACAAAAACAAAAGAAAAATTCACAAAACAACCTTTTTAATTTCACTGCTTTAACAGAGAACAGTCAGACATTCTCCTGATGAGATTCTTCTGCTGAAAGTTCCTCATGAGAGTCTATTTAAGAGTGATGGCTTTTTTATGTGACCGTTTGTTTGTGGTATTTCCTTCTTTTCTGATTTGGCCGTCCTCTTTTTGCCCTTTCCCACTCCTTGATAGCACTGGTAGGGTCATCAGTCATAGCATTGGTGATCCTAGATCCTCAGGATATCTTCAAGAGTTTGCTGGGGAGAGCAAAGCTCTTTTCACACTCTTTACATAGGCCAAATTGCTGAAGAACCTCTCCAACCCAGCGTTGGACACAGGAACAGTAAACAATAAACAAACCAGTAGCAAAATGTTTTGCCATTGAATACTTCTTGAAGAATGGGAAACTTTAAACCATGTTGCTCTGTATGATGGGACGATGGTGATAAGTACTGCAGAGTGTAGTCAAGCACGTCATGCAGAAACAGATAAGCTAAGTGTTTAAACATTTTCTCCAAAACATTAAACAGATGCAAATTTTTTTTAACAGTTTGTCTAAAGCATCAAACGGATTCAGGCTTCTAGTAAGCAAATGAGCAAAGCTTTTAGAAGCTTTCATGATCTGTTTTAAACGGATGGTAAATGGACAGTTAACAAATTTTTCCATTAGGCGGTAAAGCGTTAGTGTACAAAATCCTGTGCCCGGTCACAAATATTTTATTTGGAAAGGGTAGTTTTTAAGCAATAGAAAACGCTTTCTGTGCTTGCATTACCTGATATAAACACAAGAGGGGTTGGGAGAATGCAAGACAGTTATGCATACTGGAGACAAAGTCAAGGGTTTGCGTAACTGTCGAGAATTCTCCCAACCCCTCAAGTGTTTATATCAGGATATGCAAACACAGGAAAAACGTTTTCTATTGCTTTTATAACATAACTTTCCCGAGAAAAAAAGGAAAAGTGAAAAACGGTTTAACTGCGTCATTACTTTTCTTTTTGAAAATGCCGAAATTTGGGTTGGTCTGCAATGCTCAACAGAGAAAAAAAGGAGGATGGCCTAAAAGGTTTGATAGAGGGATGAGCTGGCTGCTTGCTAATCTCACCAGGTGAAAAAGAGCTTACAGTACAGGCCACGGGCATTGCAGCATTACACACGTGTTTCATGCGTGGAAATCCACCATATTACACACAAATTCCAAGAGAAAAACACACTTGTAAAAAAATACACTTAAAAATACACGAGAAAATGCATGCAAATTAGGAAAATTTGCGTGTAAGACTTTACACACAGGTTATTATAATTTGCGTGTATTGGGTTTACTTGAGTTCTTACATCGCTGGCTGAGCAAGTGCAGTTGTACTTGTGCAGTGGCTTTAATTTGTTAGCATAAATCAAACTTTCAAGGCACAATCAAATGTTGGTATTTAATGTTATCTGGGCTTAAAGTGATCCAAGTTTTTTAACCAAATGACAACCCTCCAAGTTGCGACCATTTTAGTCGCCATGGCGCCTAAAATTTTGGAACTGGCAACTTGATTTGGAGAATAGTTGCCAAGCTGGCGACCGTGAAGAATAGGTTCGTGTTGTGGCGTATAGAAACAGAAATGGTAATCACTTCTACTGAAATATGAAGAACATTTATTCTAGCTGATTTGAATTACATTACTTTTTTACTTTTCCGTTGAAAAACATTCTATATAATAAACTAAAAACTTAAAAAAGTCCCAGAGCTAAGCGTTTTGAAAAGGAACATCAATGAAACTTGACTTGCATTCGTTCGCCTAATCGCCTTCAGTCTGTTGCCTTGCACGTGACATTTTAACTTTTGACACGTGACAAATGGCAGGCAATCGAAGCGCCTTGCTTGTCAACAGTGACGATTTCTTCGATATCTTAGGAATGCTAGTCTAGCCAAGCTCGGTGGTTTTTTAACTGGACTACATATTATAAATATTTTTGAATCAATACTGAAACAATCTAATAACATGAAGAGGGAGAGCTAAATTGGTGCAAATTCAACACAGAACATTATGTGATAACCGTAACATGTGAGCCGTGGTGCGAGTTGAATCGCGGTTTTGTAAACAAAAGCGATAATTGTAAGCAAAACTAAACATGGCAAAACTGACAACTTATGGTTGTTGCAAAAAATGTTTTTTTTTTAAACACCTGTAGCGATGATAAAGGAAAAAGAAAATTTATTATTTTGTAAGCGGCATTTTTGTTTGGGTTCCTTTCAATTGATTGGGAAAATCATTTTTTCCCAGTACAACTCGTTGCGAAATATTTTCACGTGCGCGACGTTATCTCTATAAAGCAATGATTTGATTTAGAAAACTTGTCGATCTTCCTATACTCTCCTGCCTTTGTCAGGCTTTCGCAATGTCTAGCGATATTAAAAACGCCCTTTTAAATCTCCAAAAATATTTGTTAGTTGGGGTAACAAGTTCATCATCAACAAAAGTCGCAAAAGATATGCGAAGCAAATATCAAAAAAAAAAAAAAGTCGCCTATCAAGTTGCAACTGGGAAATTCTGAACACATTAACAGAGGATGAGTTAAGTTCTGCTCTCATATACCAACTGGGGATTATACAGAAGGATTGAAGGCCCTAAAGACAACTGGAAATGGTAATTGTCTTTACAATTCCGTTTCAGTATTGATTCAAGGAGATGAATCTGCAAACCTTATTCTCAGACTATCAGTAACTAATGCCTTGCACAATAAACGAGTTTATTATAGACAGTGCTGCATTTTAAGTTAAACTTACTAACTGCTTTTGTTAAGGACAATTTTGATATATTTATTTATTAATATAATTTGGCGCCTAAAAATTTCCCCTGGCGACTAAACCCAAAGAGCTGATCGCCAAATGGCCACTGAACAAAAATTTTAACTTTGAGGGTTGAATGAACATTGTTTTTAAATACTTACATGTTCTTCGCTTGAATCTTTATTTGTAGACTTCACAGAGGTTATAAAAAGCTTTCAACTTAAACCAGTTTCAGTCATCAATTTGCGACTATTTTGATGGACCAACTACTCTGTTTTGGTGAAGGGTCGCTTCTACATGTATTTTGTTTACAGCATTTCATCTCCTACTCTTATTAAGCTCGCTGCTTTGAGTTATTTTCTCGGGCAGCAATCTCCTTTCTCCTCTGTCCTTCGTGCAATGTAGGTCCGAGATAAGAAAGACTTGTTATTTTGGCAAGAATTTTTAAAGTTTCTTTTAGCTCGTAACACCAGCGTCACTCAGTTGCGTCGTCTGTCTACGTTTAAGCAAACATTCCGGCGCTACTGCAAGAACTAATTTTAGTTCCCGGGTTTTAGTTTTACCTGCCGAGGAAAGGTTTTCTTTTAAGGTTTATGTTTTCAGCAAAGAGTGTTTAATCCTTGTCAAGGGCAAACAAAATAACACGCTGCATTTTCATAGTTTACACAAGCTTCTAATTCAACAAAATGCATGGGATTGAATTACTTTAAATGTTGTCTATTTTTAACAGATGGCGCATCACAAATAATGTGCAAATTCGGAGTGAAATTGTATCCAAGTTTAGTAACGCATTGAAATTTTTAAGCAAAAAGTAAGGACATATCGTAAAGCTCGACGCTAATTCAATGTTAGAAAAAGGCATAAAGTGTATGTAAAAGAGAAACCTTGTGTGGTCCGTAAAATTTAGTGCCGATTGTGTGAAATCAAACCCACTAATCATCCCGATTCTTCGAACCCTCACTAACTCGAACATCACAACGCCGGCCACGCAGGCTAACTCAAGTCAAGTCAATTTCTCTCAAGTCTGAGTGCCTGCTACGCAAACTAAAACATTGCACTTATTTCAAAACAAAAGTGGTGGCAAGTAACATGCATCCAAGTTTACAGGTAAAATAGCGCTTTAGCCAACAACCAAGGAAATTGTTGATTACAAAAAATGACGTTCGCAATAGTAGCATGATCGTAGTAAGAGAAGGTGTATAGCAAGTTGTTTTCTCTTTAACTGCAAAAAGACGTTTTTCCACAATGTCAGTTTCTAATTTTACATCAGCCACATTTTGCTGTAAAGAAATACATGCAACTTGCATGTATTTTTGTAAGCAAAATCAGTCACCATAAGAGTACACTCAAATTTGCGTGTAAAAAGTCTGTGTGTAAAAGCTCGTGTAAAAATTTACACGCGAGTTTTTTGCGTCAATTTTTCGTGGAAATCCGCCATATTGCACGCAATTTACGTGCGTGTAAGTGCTGCAATGCCCGTGGCCTGTACAAAAACAAAGAAAACAAAGATATAGGGTAATATTGAAGGTACAGTTGAGTAAAAAAAGCCAGCTTGACCTGCCTAGCTTTTCCAGAGCTTCAAACTGTCCACCAGTTACCAAAGGATAAGTGGAAAACCAGGCTATCATTCCATTACCCTCTGGAGAGTGCTGCCCTATCCACCATTTTGAACAACTGCAGCCTGATGACACATTTTTTTTCAAACTAGCCACAATTTTCAAAAATTTAGGAACCAAGTGGGCAGTAAAAAGGAAGAAGTTAATTTCATGCTTTTAAAAAATTAAGGAGTAAAAGCTGGAGGGCAGTCACTGCATAGACATATTGGGGAAAAGTGTGAAAATTGTTTCGAGACAGGCGAATTTGGGCAACTTCAATGTAAACCGTAAGAGTACAGCTTGCTTTTTCAGATGGAGGAATTAAACGTGCGTTCGATTAATTCTCTACGAAAGTGTCTGAAGTAAGACACAAAATTCATTTGTTACCTTTTTAGCCAACAGACAGGCGAAGAAAAACAGTATGCTTCCAAAGGTACCCTTTTACAACAGATTTCCATTTCAAATTAATGTGCAATTTAAGCTTTTTAGCACGCTTTCGAATTCAGTACTTACCACAAAACCGAATCCGTTCTTTAAATTTATCTCCCTAATACGCCCAAAACCACGAAAAAACTTCTCAACGTCTCTTTCTCTTGCATCTCTAGGTAATCGTCCTAGGAACACTCTAGGAGCTCTGTCTCTGCTCATGATTTTTGTGACAAACTGCAGGAAACGAGAGGACAAGACAACCACCACAGCAAGATGGTGGACAAATGCAAGGGCAAGGATGCTATCCCATGAGGCCTTATTACTTATCGCGCATGACGTGGCGCATAATCAAAGCCTATGATCGCGGGCTCCGGGACAAGAAAAACTTGCTTCAAAAAGTTGTTGATTCTCTTTGTGGAAAAATATACTTTATGTAACGATGGTGGAAAAACATAAAGATTTGCTAGAATGAGCGACTTAACACCTGATGAGGTAGGAATCACTAGTTATACAATAAGTCAACAAACTTTTTATCAACGCAAGATCTCGACAGGAAAAGAGAACAAAAAAAGATGCTTTTACGTACCAATGTATCGATCCACACGTACACATGAATGGAGCCATTTATTGTAAGCTTTATATTTATACTGTCCACTTTGGTTTAAATTCATCGTGAACTCTATCAGGCAGTGAATTTTGAAGTGTTGTTGGCTGGGAAATCTCAGATTCGGCTACATTTAATATTGTTTTGTTCGTAATGCCCAACCCTACACTAGCTGGTGAAGAGTTCTTAAACTTTTATACATGTCGCTTACGTTTTGAGAGCTTTTGTGAATGACTTCATTCATATATTTCATTCATTTCATTTCATTCAGATCCTTGATAATTCATCTAACTGCTTCCCAATGGAACACTCAATCTCTTGCTAGATTCAATGAGTAAATTTTTCCATTTTCTTTCCTAGTATACATTGTAGCTTGTCCAGCTGTATTAATTACCATGACATCATTATAATGAGTGAAGAGTTTGTTCCTTGGGACAGAGGCTAAGCCAAAGCCTTAAATAAGATAATATTGTTACACATTATACTTACAATTAACTACTTTATGGACAGAACATAATCTAAGACCTTTTTTTAATTTGGGTAATTTACAGTTTAAATAAATTTATTAATTTTAAATAGCTTATCAAGTGGATCTGAGCATATCTTGCTTGTAGTAATGTATTGGTCAAATCGAAGCTTCAACATGCCCCCCCCCCCTCCCCCGGGCAACCCCCCGGGCATTTGACTTTTTTGAAAATTATTGTTCAAATTCCCCCCTAGCCGGGACAAAATGCCTTTCAAATGCCCCACACTAGGGTCCATTCAGGTGATCAAATGCCCCCACCCCGGGGACATTTCACAGGCACAAAAATGACAGAAGGACGGCGGAAACACCTTCAGTTGTCGAACAAAATATTAATTTATAAGTATAACAAAAACTGAGAAACACTATTAGCGTATTTACTACGAACAAAAGTCTTGTGCAAAGCGACGGAAATCGCTGCTACAAGGTCACTGAATGCTCAGCTTTTCTTCGTCATGCAACATACAAAGTGTTCTATAAAAAAAGATCCTACCTATTGAGATTACTACATCACGACCATTTCACTGACATGCATCATCGTTCACCTTATTAATTAACATACTTGCAGTAGGTCAAAGTAGTTGACCTGAGCTTTTTATTTTATTTTATGTTGTTGTATTGAATCGCCGATATTGGTATTGTATTTCATTGTAAACACAACAATGAAATACATTCATACATTCAAAGCCTGAATCCAATATTAAAAATTTTAAAATTTAAATACTTCAAATACGGCACAAAGCTTGTTTAAGCCCTTTCCTCGCAACCAATTGGCCACAAAGGCACAATCTTTTCCACGAAAATCCTCTAACACCGTGTCCCCCATGATAGCTCGCCATGCCAAAGATTTTACATGAAATCCAGGGTGCAGTTCAAATTCCTCAACCCTAAAGCATCGGGATCAAATTCCCCACCCCCTGGAAGACTCTGATGATCAAATTCCCTCCTCCCAGGGACGGTAAAGGTGTCAAATGCCTGGGGTATGCCCGGGGGGCCATGTTGAAGCTTCAATTTTGACCGATACATAATACAGTCACATGAGAGTAAATGTCACTAATATTGAAAATATCAATGATAATACATGTTATAATATAACTTACATGTATTAAACAATGATAATAATAATATTATTATTATTGTTTAACCCATTCACCCCTGATTCACCCTTAACCGTCCATGTAGATAGGCATCCCTTCTACTGCTTGTGACATCATCAGTTTTAATGGTCAAGGACTAGTTTGTCCACTAACTTGTGCAGGGTGAAGAGATCTTTAAAACCATACCAGAATGAGCACAATTCAGTCAAGGACACCGGAGAAAAAGGCCCAAAAAAACACATAACATTGACCTGAAAATTTCCATGAAAATCTTGTTCCACTACCCACCTACCTTGCCTTTCACAAGGTAATATTTTGCATCTGGATCAGAAGGCCGCAAAGTTTTTGACCTGCAAATGGCTTCATAGTAAGTTTTAGCTCTTTATTTAAATGAAGCGCGACGGTGACCAGAAAACTGCTCGACTAGCTTCAAAACGCATTTTTCGGTAAAATTTCCAGGGGTGAATGGGTTATATTAATAATTCCTGATAATAAAGATGAGGTAAATCGTAATATAATAATTATTGCATGCTGTATATTTTACAGGTTTTGGTTTTGAAGAATATATTTATGTACTGTAGTTAGCTTATTCTGTAAATTAATCGAAGTTTGAAACTGGTAAATATGAGACCTTCGTACCCAAATGCAAAAAGCATTGAAATGTATCATGTTTCCATGCTAGTATATGGCTTTATTAGAGCTTATCTTGGAACCAATTTACTTCAGGACAGTTCATGACTGATACATGTATGTATAGGTTGAATTAGTAATTGTGAAAAATGATGTGTTCTAATGAGTGAGAAACAATAATAGCTGACTAACAATTACATAATAGACTGTATTTCCAAGTCAGGGTTACATTATCACTAACATTTCAACTTACTGGGTAAATACAACAAGTAGGCAGGGAATCAAACAGCTAGGGATTTCTTTTGGTTCTATTTTTCTTCTATTTTCCTTTGAAAGTACCTGCGGGCCATGTTCATAGTAGCCAGGGGAAATCCCTGTCCCTGCCTCTTAATGACAGCCCTGCAAGTGATTGTTAAAGTCAATTACTGAATGTCAATGGCCGGTGGAAAACCTGCTAATACTTAACTTTGTGAATTGGTATGTACTTTGGACATTTTAAAAAACAAGGTGTCTCATAGTAAAACTGTAACTTGTTTGTGGTGCTAAAATGATTTTATCCATGTCTTACATGAAAAATCTTTGATTCTGTAAATTACCATTTACCATTTTGTGTACAGTGCTCTCTCTAAAAACTAAATTACACAGTAATGAGCATAGCTATTGGTATAGTACTGTTGATTTAATTCATTACTGATGTATTGTGGATTTTCAGATCAGGCGTCGTCGCCTGGCCAGATTGAACCAAGGTGCCTTGTCCACATCCCCGACATCAGATGGCCAAACCATTCCAATGAGAACTAGCCTGAAACCTGTGGATGCAGAAGATTCAGCAGTTAATACTCAAGACAGTGGCTATGGTTCTTTGCCACAATCCTTTGAGTTTGATGATAACTCCCAAGAGACAGGGGATAAATATGGCAAGCGTACTTCACCAACTAGTTTGTCTTCTCCTTCAGAGGGTTTTAAATTCAAGAAAACAAGGGATGGATTTGACAAACATGGTGCTAATCATGCAGGGGTGAGTTTATAGAGTTATCCAATGTATGCTGTATTTTTCATGGTTTACTTGACATTATTTGTCATGGTTTATGCTTACTATGTTGTGGAATGAAGTCCTATCTGGTAAACATTTGGCTTTGGTTTGATTTGGTGGAGCAAAATGGTCATACAATAACAAACTAAAAGAAAACACACAGTGTAACTGCTGACTAAGTGTATAAAGTAGACTTCAACTTTTCAGTTCTAAGTTATAAAAAGTTTCCTTTTTGATACGTCAGTTCTTACTGAAATCGAAAATGTGAAGAGACTGTGATTGATCAGCATCTTACAATTTCTTTTAGATATGCCGTTAAAAAAAAAATACATACAACATGCATGTAAAAGTAAAAGGAAGTTTTCCTACAGTAAATACAAACGTCTTGTTCTTGTAATATTGTTTGTGTCAAACTTTATTTGCCTGTATTTTGTGTGTTAATCCACCACATGTGTAAATGCTGCAATTCCCATGGCCTGCACTGTAACACCCTCTGCGTAATTCATCATAATGATACAAAACTGAATCCAATATTATATTGCTTTTTATTATTATTATTATTATTATTATTATTATTATTATTATCATTATTATCCATACAAAATATTTCCAACTTAAAACTCAAACTGCCTGTTCCCAGGCAGTTAAAGATTATGAGGAGCTGTTCATGCTAGCAATTATCTGTTGAGTACACTGCTGTATTTTTGCTTCTTTTTCTATGATTTTAGGCAGCTATTTCTTCTTCGCATAACATGTGAAATCTTCTCCCATTATCTACAGCTCTTGCCTTCTGCAGTCGGACCCTTTATGTATCTGTACATCTCACCTCCAAATTTGTTCAACAATAGCTGGTTATTGAGAATTGGTCAGGGGATTTGAGCCAATGAGAAAATTATGCAGAAATATTTGAATAAATAATACATGTAAGATTGTATTATTTAAATATAATCATAATTATGATACAGCACATACAGTGGAATCAACCTTTGTTGAAGAGCCAAGAGAGTGGCAAAATATGTTCAGTATAATAAGGTTTTGTCGTGGAGGTTCTGTTCCCTATAAAATTTTACTAATATTACTGGAGCAAAGAATGTCATTTGTTGTACAGAGGACTTCCTTGAATAGACATAGAGGTTCACTGTATTGAAGTGGGTTTACTATTGTGTTTATGGAGGTCATTGTGGCAGGGAAGGGTGCTGCTCTTAGAAGCAACAGATGTTGTGATTTTAAATTTTAACTGGAATAATATTATTTAGTGTCAGGAAGTTATTTGATGGTGGAAATGGTAGAATTTAATTAAAAGTATTTTCTATTCTTGCTCTTGCAGGTACATGTATATGTAACCGATGAACAAATTGTAAAAAGCCTTTGTAACATATTTAAAGTTTCATTGAAGGTGATGTTTGTTATCAACATAATAATATTGTAATGTGCTATATTATATAAAAGTGATAGTTAAATGAGTATTATTTTTATTGAACCTTTTCACTCAATGCTTGAAATTCACAGGATGTGTCTTGTTATTTGCTGGACTGCATGAATATGAATGTATATTTGTTTGTTTGTTTGAAAAAAGGTACAAAGAAAGGATATCAAAGAGAAGATGAGTTTTACACTCAGGTTGTCTGTGTTTTTATTTTAATTTATATGAACTTACCAAATTATGTACGTCATTCTTTTTGCTTTTAGAATAATGAACTATCTCCAGAAACAGTTTACTTGCCTTCATTAGCAAAGGATCTTGCAAGAATGAATCTTACCTCAGGTATTGGAATTTGTAGCAGTTACACTAGTAACAGTGTAATTCAGGTGAAATGGAGGTTGCTTCTGAATTTTCTTTGACTCCTTTAGTCCTGAATATTAATGAATAAGGGCTAGGAGACAAGGGATTTTGGGAATCAGCCTACATGTACTTTGTGCTTAAAACATTATAAGACAGAATCCATCAGGAAATTGACTAATTTTAATTTTCAGTGGACATTCTTACAGGTGAAAATAGTTATGTGTAATAACATCAAAGAAAATTTCTTATGGGAGCCCGAGAAAATGAATGTCAAACTTCACAAATTTTCAGAATTTTACCTGTGTTTTCACAATTGTGAAATTTGACATTTATTTTCTTGGGCTCCCATAAGAAATTTTCTTTGGTAATATTAATGATAACTAATAATATTATTATTACATCTATAGCCCTTGAAAAATGTAAAAAAAGAATGCAATATATTCTTTAAATTATTCTGGTACAAGGTTTTTGTTCCCTGAAAATTAAAATTAATCAATTTCCTGGTGGATTCCATCTTTAAAACTTTTAACAAAATTTAGTTTTAATGCCTAACAATATATTATGTAAATCCTTTATTAAGTTCCCCCTCTCTGATAAGCCCTCCCCTGTTAATAAGCCCCCTGACTCTTTTAAGCCCCCCTCCTCTCCCCTAATTATTCTTCCTTAATAAATGATAGACTGTATTAATCGATTGTGACTGTAAAACTTCATGTGGGACTTTGTGTGGACTGATCCAGGACGGTTTATTCACCAACTGGAAGTTCAGATTTGTTTTTGATCCTTGGCTGCATGATGACCTCCAACTTCTTGTACTTGAGCTTTTCCACTTTGTATACCAGTTCTTTATGGAGTAATGATACCATCATCTTTTTTAAATTAAATAAGACTGCCCTCCTAAATAAGGTATTGTGTTTTGTTTTGTGTAAAGTTGACGTGGAAGTTTTACTGAAAATCTTGTCCCACTACAAACCCACCTACACTTCCTTCCATGTAATCCTATGATCCTAAACATTTTGCCCAAAACTTTTCCTACCAAAGTGAAGCCTAGTAAATTGGTCAGTAAAAAAATGGGGCAAGAAAAGCAAAAGAAAAGGGTACAAAATAATAAAGTCTCCTTTTTTCTGTCCTCAGAAATGGCTCAATGTCTCATTTCACATTTCTTGCTGTCACAATTTGCATGCTTTTGTCCCATTGTTATTCCACCCAGCTTTGGCTTGTTGCTGTAAATGGTCGCAGGGCTGTTTCACTCAAACAAATTCAAAATTAAACATATTGTGAGATGTATTAATGTGAACTGCTGAGATCTATGTCTTTTACAATTCGGTTACGTTTGATAAATGACCGTACACAATGTAGAACAAAAACAACACTGTATAAGCTCACTTTTTGGCTTCAATTTACTTACAAAATTAAACTGGACAGATCTATGTTTTACTTGTAACTGTATTTTTTCTAAAAGCTCTTCCTAACATTAATGCCACACTGACACAAGTCATTTGGTTTCAATTTTCTTACTTTTATGATAAAAATCCTGTTTATTTAAATTATTCCTAGAAACTGTTGTCAATCTTATAAGTGAACTGATCACGGAGAGACTAACGCAATCACATGTTAGTAGTGAAGGCCAAACAAGTTTAAGTGCAACACTTACTATTGCTGAAGAGACTTCTCAAATGGCCATTGATGATGGATCATCAGAGAGCAGATCTTCAGAATGTAGCAGTTTGCTGACAGAAGAAAAAACTGATTTTCTTGCCTTAAGAGAGACACCATTCATGTGTCAAACAAAGCAACTCAAGTTTTTGGCTGACAGTTATAACCGCACAATGAATGAAGAAAAGAATTTTACAAAGGTGATTTTTACTGGCATTGCAATAAAATAGTTTGAAATGATTGTGTTTAATACAATGTGTGAAATAAGCCCTGTTCACACTTATGTTATTTTTTACCATTAAATAACAGTGGATACATGTACCTATATAATAATTATAATATATATTATTGATCTCATAGGTGCATGGAACAAGGTCCTAAGTGACCCATGCTCCAGTGTCAAATTCTCCCTCTGAATTACAAGAATATACAAGGAAAATTGAATAAGAGAAACTGGTAGTTTATCATAGATCATTTGGGACTTCAGGCATGTCTTAAATGGAGGTCCTTATGACTCTGGCATACAAAAGAATTAAGTGAAGACACAAAAGGGCCCTCAAAGGAGGGCTGAAGGCTTATCAGGCATGGTAATCACACAAAAAAGGCATGAAAAATAAGGGAAAAAGTGCTCAACTTTGAAACAACAATGCAAACAGGTTCTTAGACAGAGGAAGGCATTTGATTTGACGCTTGAATTAAGCTGGAACTAGAAAGACTGATCTTGTAGGGTGCCACTTCTCATAAAAACATTTGACTATTGAATTCTGCAAGTTTAATAAAATATTATTTTAATAATACCGGTACCAATTAATCTAGTCATATATTTTATTATTAAATACTTATTACAAGTCATCATAGCACCTAACAAGTACAAAGGATTGCAGTTTTTATATATGTTAACTTATTTGACTTTATTTGCTTTAGCGATCCCAGGAAGAGAGATGGGTGACTGCCATAACCCAAGCTCGACGTCAATGTGTTTCATTTTCATTATGTATTCTTCAGGGATACTTCTCTCAACAGAGGTAACATTAATTAACCAGGCTGCTGACTTGTGAAAATTCTCTTGCTGGATTAATACAATCTTATTACTGGGTACTGATTGTAAAGAACTGAATTGGAAACAACAATGAACCAGAGATTTTTGTGAACCTTTTTACTTTAATTTATAGATCTGTGATAAAGAAATCTCCACTGGTGCATCTGCTTATCAGTGAAGAATGTGACCTTCCCTGGTTGTTTTTGGTGGATCTTGTTGCTTTGGCTGCAAAGGACTCTGATACTCTAAAACAGGTAAACTTTGTAAACAAAACTTTTTCATTGCTTACTTACCTTTTTTACGTTAGCCGGCAGTCCACTTTAAGGCCACAGTGGTAACTTTAATCTTAAGCGATAAAATTCTTCCTGGCTTGTGTTTTCCTTTTTTTTTTTATTTTTGTGGCTGATAATTATTATTGCAATTAATAAAGCTCCATATACATGTAAGTGATTTTTTTGTCCCCTGATAATCACAGTATAGGGCTTCTTACACAGATAAAAAGGGCTGTTTGTAGTTTTTACAGCTCTCTTTTACATTTATCTAATGACACACAGGCAACTGCGTCATTTTTTTAGTGTACTGGGGCCCGTTTCTCGAAAGCCCTGGTAACTAACGGACCCGTAAAGCTGTTGTTCTTTACCTGCAAGATAGAGATTTCAGTAGGTTTTACATCTAAACATGATAAAACTATCAGTTAGTAAAACAAAATGGAGTAGTTTGCTAGCCAGGACCCGCACTCTTATTCTTTATATTTTGATTTGAATATTTGATTTCGGGCCCGAAAAGTTACCGGGACTTTCGAGAAATGGGCCCCTGATCCCAGCAAAGGAAACATTTTATTGGAAATTTCAGGCTTTCTCGAAGCTTTAGAAAAGTCCTGTGCAGTAGTCGGTCCAGGACTAGTAGATTTTCCTGCCAGGCAGCTAATCTTAAAAAGCTTCCTTGCACAATAAGCGAGGGTTTAGGCAAGTCATGTTCTAATTAAAAGATATGATCAACCTTTAAGGTTCTAATTCTTTTTCTAAAAAATTAATGACTTGTTCCCTCATTAACTGATTGTAACACTTTTTACATAAATTAGTTGTGTATAATATTATTATTGTGTTATGTTTGTTTTGTGTAAATGCTCACCAAAGGCTGTGATCTTTTATCCAATTGTCTCCACTTATTTTTTAAGCGATTGTATGGAGATCACTTTGAACAATTTGTATGTGGATATTGGGACTTAAAGAATTAAATAATATCATTGTTGAACGCTTTATGTGTTGCTCTTTTATCATCATTAGGTGTTTGTACCAGTGTTGTTGGGTTTGAACCGTGAAATGCAAAAGCAGCATTTAGCAAGTGATGAATACAAGGCTCCCTTACAAGTAAGTACATTTAATTTTTTTATTTTTTATTTTATTTTTTTTTTATAACATAATGTTGAGGTGGCTCTGTCATTAATACAGGGGTGTTAAGCTATGATGAACTTTTTGTCATAACTTTGTTGATTTTAATGCGATGGCCACAAAACTTTGGAAAGAACTACGTACAGATATCATTCAGCAATAATATGAATTACTGGTGGTAAATATTTTTTACAAAATTAGCCCCTAAGTGGACTGTACTTTTCAAAGAAAATCATGTCTAGTAAAAAATTTTGCTGATATTCTTGACTGAAATTTCTGGTATCGACTTCAGAGAAGTCGCTGGAGCAGAAGTGCGAAACTAGCAAGCCTTTAAAATTTAATGGTGAAATCATTTTTGAATTTCGATAACGAATTGCTCTGAGAAAGAACAAGCCACTAATTTGAATTTTCAACGCAAGTAATTCTAATTTGCTAATTCTTACAACCAAGGCTTATTCTGTGCTATTCTTTAAGAGGAACTCTCTAGTTTTAGAAACACTATGAATAATTGCTCCAAACCTTGCTGTGAAGTCTAATGAATTTTTCCTCAATATTTTTTGATTTTGGCTGAAACTCCTGTTACATACATTTTAATGTATTACAAAGCATCTTCATTGGCTTTTGCTGCTGTGCTTTGCTTCCAATGAAAAATAGGTATTTGGATTAATAATAATAATAATAATAATAATAATAATAATAATAATAATAATAATAATAATAATAATGGTTTATTAGTATTCCATAAAAATGGCTCTTCTATGCTACATTACTAACTATTAAAACTAACTTCAAGATTTGAACAAAGGTAGACTGGGCAGGATTAGCTCAGTCGGTAGAGGGCTTGACTGGAGAGCGGGAGGTCGCGGGTTCAATTCCTGGAGCCGGACCAATACTCAGGGTCTTAAAACAACTGAGAAATAAAGGTACTGCCTTTGCCCTGCAAATGGCCAAACCTTCACCTGACTCAGATGACCACATAAAATGGTGGTCCCATCTCCAGTAGCAGACGTAAAAATAGTGTCCTCAATTAGTACAGTGTAGTTTTGTGCTAAATACATTGACACTCACATAAACTGGATTTTTTTTAACGGTAGAACTTTAAAAGAAAATATATATTTATTTGCATAAAACTGGATAGATGTTGTTATAATATAGTTTAAAAAGTACAAGACTTTTGGCTAGTTGTTGGATTATAAAATTGTTACCTTCTACCAGAACTCAGGTAGAACTGCCAGGAATCTTAGTTTGTTTACGACTATGAAATGAGCACAAGCGTACCTCAGCCACTAGGACAAATGACAATGATGTCCATGCCTGTGAACCAAACTTTATCAAAAGGCCAAATAAATATATCAAGAAAAATACTTTCCATGGAAAAATTTAAAACTCTGTAAAAAGGTCTTGACTTCTTTCTTTAATGGATGGGTGATACTTTTCTTGATTACCATATTTTGCTTTGTGTATATACAAATCACTTTGTGGGCATGGGCATGCACATCATTGTTGTTCATCCCCCTGACTGAGGTGAGAATTCCTCGCAGAACTTCCATCCAAGCTCATTTCATAGTCATAACCAAAGGTGATTGACAGCTCTACCCGCGCTTTTATACAAGGTAGCTTAAAATCCCAGTAACTATTTTTGGAAATGGAAGCAACACGTAGCAGTTAAATATACAAGGGTCGTGGATCTGCATGGGCAGTTTAGGGTTGAATGGGTTAACTATTTATTACATTCACATACACTGTACACCTCTAATGTAGCTGACTGTGATGAGCTTAGTAACATCTTCTGGTCAATGCTCCTGGTAAAGGCTTACATATACAGAGCACTGCTACTTTGTCAGTATTGCAGCAGTTGTTTTCAGTAGTCCTCTCTAGCAGCTTTTGTAGCAGCACTGATATATAACAACAGTTACTGCCATATGTTAAGCACTGTTTGCACTTGCAGGAAATATATAAAGAAGAGTGAAAAATTTTATGATACTCTTTTCATGACATATGAAATCTTTCTCATTCTAGTTGCCTAGGCAATACATTGTTATACATAAATATTTTATGGAAGGTTTGTTTGTATATGACTGTGAACAATATTATTTTATATTGCTATTTTTTTCATTTTCCTATGGAACCAGGCACTTTCCAGGTTGTGTGATATCCGTCTTGGAACAGCTTCTGTTAGACCCATCTGTAATCTGGTATGATGATGAGACCCCTATTTCTTATCTCTTGAAGTCTTGATATTAATTCTCCTCACTAACCCTGGGTTGATACAACTTGAACTTCATAATGGTTTAAGGCCTTATTACCCAGAAATATTGTAAGTTGATTAGAAAACACACAGTAGAACTTACAAAAAAAACCACATTTTTCCATGTCCTTGTTGTCTAGCGATAATGTATATGTCTAGTTAATATTTTTCTCGGGTAATTTTTCTTTTCTTTTGTTTTTGGGTATGGTAATGTATGCTATTAAATGAAGTTGAAACAAAAGAAAAAGAAAAGTTATGTGAGATAAAAAATTAACTACAACATATACCTTGTATTCCATTGCGTAGATGAGCGGGAGAGGGGGGGGGGAGTTTAGCATTACAGTATTTGTCTGCTGGTGAGGATGTTACCGGAATTTCACGGAATTAATGTTTTACTTTTTTCAAAAATAATTCCAAGTAAATTTTTATATTTACAGGGAAGGTCTTAAAAACCTGGCTCATACTTAGGCATAATGTGGGGGGTTATGTTATTTTTTTGTTTTATTTGCTCAGTAAGTTAAATCAATAACCCTGAGAGCACAACTGGTTTTCTAGTAAAATATTATTCCTTTTTAAAAATGATTAGACCAATAACCTAAAGTTAAAATTGTGTAAGTTTGAATTTGTTGAAATGCTTTCCTTATTAGATGGTGACTTTGCCTGATCTGTGGATGCCATCTCCATTATCAAGAGCTGAAGGGAAGGAGATTGAAAAACTCTCACTCCTTGGTCCTTTTCTTAGCCTGTCTGTGTTTTCTGAAGACTGTGTAAGTTTTTGAAATTTAATTACAGTACACTCACTGTACAGATCAGGCTAGTAATGAAGCCCTGTTAACTAGGCTAAATTTCAACATGGGCACATGGCCATGAAACAGGGACATAAGAAAACTGAAATGGTGGCCAACAATACAAAGATGGGTTATAACTGCAACAGCAATGAAGAGAAGCACAAATACAATAATAAAATACCAACAGGGATTAGGATTAACTTAGCCCTCAATACGCAAAACACGGTTTTGAAATTCACATTAGGGACATATATTCCTCCCTAAGAGTTGTGGCCTCAGTAATATGCTCTTGTTTGTAAATTCATAATATTGCAGAAATCCTACACCAATATTAATTATTCCCAGCAGATTATTGTGCTTTTCACTAATCTGCAACCTCCAAAGTATTAAATTTTTATCCAACATTAAATTTTACATTTTTGGCTGTCCAGCCATCAATCACCCTTATTGACCTCTCAGGAAACCTAAATTTTCTACAGTGGGTTCAAAAGGTCACATTTGTAGGTTTTAATTGTTAGACTTTGATCAATTGACTGGTCCATTATGACCTCTTCTACCCATAGCAACATATAATATAACATCTTCACCAAGTCAATCAAGGATCACTTTTTCTGGCAAGTTGTCGATTTTCCAACATGACAGGAGAGTTTACTGCATTTGGTCCTTACAAACATTTCTGATAAGATTGTTGACATCAAAGAATTTTATGATATTTTGGACTCAGACCACAAACTTATTAAATTTTGCCTTGACCTTTGCATCACAAGAAACCCTCAAACGTTTTGTCTCTAATATAAAAACAAAGCAGACTTATTAAACTGCTTTTTTCAATCAGTCTTTACTGCAAACAGTGGAACAATTGAATGCCCCCAGGTGACAACTGCTGTACTTACTGACCATCTAAGTGAACTTATTTTATCATCATCTGAGGTGGCAAAAGTTTTGAATAACATCAATCCAGCCAAAGTGCCTGGTCCAGACAACATTCCAGGTAGATTACTAATTAAAAGGAAACTGTGCCCTAAATTACAGTCTCTCTGTACCACCTGTTCAACCTTTGCTGTCACTGGGCAAATTCCCAGATCAGTGGAAACTGGCAAGTGTTTGTCCTGTATTCAAAAAAGGTGACTCAGCGCAAGCCAAAAACTATCATCCGATTTCTTATTATCCATCTTGTCCAAATGCTTTGAAAGACGTGTTTTCAATCATTGTTATCCACACATTTCGTCTCAGCTATATCACCTGCAACACAGACTTCTCAGAGGAAGGTCCACTGTCACTCACCTTCTTCAAGTCTATCATCACAAAGTCATTAATGCCTTAACTGAAGGCAAAGAGATTGATGTGATTTATTTAGACTTTGCCGAAGCAGTCGACAAAGTCCCCCACTCAGCCTTGATCAACAAGTTGTCTCGCTTTGGTGTATCCGACCAGTTGAGACAATGGTTCCAAAGCTCTCTCTCCAACAGATCTCAGTGAGTAGTGCTACTATGCACGGTACCCATTCCAACTGGCTACAAGTTACTTCTGGAGTACCTCAAGGCCATATTGGGCCCACTACTCTTTCTCGCCTATATCAACGATATTCTGCATCCAACATGAGTCTAAAATAACAATTTTCACTGATGACTCCAAATTGAATGATACAAGATAATTTTGAAGCTATCTGATAAGATCTCTCTTCAGCAAGACTTGACTCAGCTCTCCAACTGGAGTCACACCTGGCCGGGCAATGAGCCTCAGCACACTTAAGTGCAAGACCCTAAACATCTCCAGGAAAAAATTGCTGTCAAACAGAGAATACCACCTAGATGGGACCCTACTAGCCACAGCTAGTGAAACCATCAACTTGGGCATAACCATTACAGACAACTTCAGTGGTCTACACACAGGGTCCAGAGGAGTTTTGTGTGAATAAATGAATTACTTATTTGAAGTCCCACCTTGAAAAATGTCTATAACTGTCGCTTAGCACGATTAATTATGCCAATGGGATCTTAATGAATCTACTGTAAACAATTTCTTCGCTTCTTATCTGACCCAGGTCGACTTTGTTGTTCGCCATTTTGAAAATCAATAACCGCAAGCCATATCCTCGCTGGCGCACGGAACGTCGCCCGACTGTAAGCCGATCTTGCGTGCCCTCAGTCTCTTGGTTTGCGGTCAATAGAATGTGTAACGAAACGGTAACACGATCAAAATAACCCATTTTTTCAGAGGTTTTCGACGGGTTTTGATGTTCTAACAACAAACACTTCTCCTCTGGACCCTGTGGTCTACAGACATACGTCAGATCTTCCTGCAAGCAAACCGTACTTTTGGCCTTATTTGCCAAATCTGCAGAGACATCAGTGACACTTACTCCAGGAAAATTTTATACTGTTCAATTGTTCGCCCCAAATTAGAATATGCTAGTGAACTTTGGTCCCCTTACACTCGTAAGGACAAACTTTAGCTAGAAAATGTCCAGCGCAGAGCTGTGAAGGTTATTTTGAATTAACCGAAAGACATGTCTTACTAGCAAGGATCTGTTCGTCAAACTTAACCTGTTGCCGCTGGAGTATAGAAGGGATTTGAAAGACCTAGTCCTTATTTTTAAAACCAAAACAGGCCAAGTAGATCTCAGTAGCCATCAAGACTTTTTTCGTCAAACTGAAATACACCATTGCATGCAAGTTTAACAATACCATTTACCCTATGCAAAATAAAATTATTTAAAACACTCATTTTATTATAGATCGACAGCTACTTGGGTCTAGCTACCTGTAGACATCAAAAGCACAAATCAGTCACTTTCTAGTTTTAAGAAAAAGGATTTTAGATATTTACACTTGCAATACTCTATCTTGTGTCCTCCCTGCAGCCAGTGGGGTATAGGCTGCTGATATCGATACTTAATATGTGTCTGTTTTTAATGGGAAGGGGAGCAAAAGGTGGTTAATGTTGGGGGGCAGTGGGGGGTTCCATTATCTATGGTTTTATTCCATTTGGTTCTTGGGGCAAGATATCAGCTGGGACAATATTCTGTCTCCTGCTCTAGTTGCAATATTCACATATATTAATTTACCTGTTTTTTTTTTTCTCTAACTGAGGTATTTTATATTTCATTTATGTACGTATTTTTATGTTCATATTAATGAAATTAATAACATGCAACGAATTCAATAAAGTTAAAGTTAAGTTAATTGAGTATGGCATAATCATGATTGACAGAATTGAAAAACTAACTTGTTTAAATCCTTGACTTGAGAGGTTGCATGTTGAAAAGTGCAGTAAGAACAACAATGCAATTTGTAGCCTGCTAGCTAGCAAGCTGTCCATGACACATCCATGTTTACTTAGTGATGTTTATGTTGTGGTTATTCTACAGCCCCAGATTGTGGAGCGCTACTTTTCTGAGTGCTCTGACAGCGTAAAGCTCGTGAATGTGACTCTGAGGAGTGCCCTTCTTTTAGTTAGAGTAAGTATATTATGACTTAAAATTAATTTTTCTTATTTATTTTAGGTTATTCATAAGAAATGGTACAGAAATAAGTTTACTGGTGTCGTCATAACTGTTTTTTTTCTTAGTTTCTGATGATGTGCTAATCAAAAATTATAATCAACAATAATTTGATTGTAAGTCCATGCAAAAGTGTGCTTACATATATGCACAGTTAATACATGGCTTGTCTTCTCTCATTCAGGGCTCAGAATGGAAAATTAATCCTTGGAATAATGTTCACAAATCAATATTATCATATACATTTGCATTTGTCTACTGCAGTAATGAAACTTGCCAATGTACACTTATATAATTATTTATTGAATAACAGGTTTGAACATGCATCAGTTGGTAGCCCTGACTCTGAGATCAAAAATTTCCTAGCAATGTGGCAATTAGCCTCTCTACCATAAGATTTGCATCATCATTGTTGCATTTGCCATTTTTAGTTTATTATGCCAACTTGTTTACAGACAGAAGTGTTCAAGATTATTCATAGCATGTTAGTGTCAATGGAGAGTCGTGATTCTTGTTTAACGTTCATGGGAGCAGTTTTACAAAGAAATCACCGCAAAGCACAAATGCAGGTCAGTCAAAATTTTTATTTACAATTTTTGTGAATAGATATTGCAGTGATATTACAGCAGATAGTGCTATCCCTGTACAAGTCAACTAAAATAAGAATTGTCTTTCTTTGTCCATGTATGTTTGGTTCAGGTGGATGATAGACAAGTTGCTTCTGATGGATTTATGCTGAATTTTATGACAGTCTTACAGCAGCTTTGTGGAAAGGTTAAAATTGAAAAAGTAAGTCTTGAAAACCTAACCTGGTGTTTGCTAGAAAGGATGTTTTCTGCATTTTGTCCTGGGTTAGGAAGGGAAAAAGTAGCTTGGAAACTACTACATTTTTTGTGAACTGAGTGTGGTTAACAGCTCCAGGTCAGAGTTCGACCCTCACTGCTGTGTTTTTTCCCTAGATTAAAAACTTTACTCCACTCTGTCTCTATTCATCTGGGTTTATAAATGGCTATTGGCGATATACTACCAGGGGTAACCCTGCAATGGACTAGCATCCCTTCTGGAGGCGGGGTAGTAATATTCATAGGTCCTTTGTGGTTAGAGACCTGGGCTAAAGGGCACCCGTGTGTGTCTCATGGCCTAAACTAAGTAGATATATAGGACTCGAAACACATGAAATACCGTAAAATTCCGAAAATAATCCCTGGGGCTTATATTTTTCACAGGCCCTTTTTGAGGGGCTGATATTCGGAGGGGCTTGTCTACGGAGGAAAATTTGTGTTTCAAAATCGATTGGGCTAGCCTTATAGTTGAAAGTAATTTACCGTTTTGGCTTTGTTTTACTTTGTATTTAAGGGTAATTTTCCAAGTACAAGCCCCCCGGGGGCTTATATTTGCAGGGGCGATTTAACGGAGGGTTTTTTGCGTTACCGGTTTGGGGGGCTTATTTTTGGAGGAGCTTATACATGGAGGGGCTTATTTTCGGAATTTTACGGTACCTTCCCCTCTATTCTCCAGTCTTATTGATGACACTTTGTTTTTTTACCTTAATACTAGCTGTTATTTTCTCATGGAGTAGTGAGAGTGCAGTATTTATGTCATGCAATTTGTTTGCTTCATTTGCTTGTTTCAGTGACCTCAACATTCTGTTATTTACCTCAGGGAATCGTATATTGTCATTTTTACTTCTTTACTTCTCGAACTCATTAATAATTCATAAAGAAAATACAAAGGAAGTTAATGTTTAATGAGTGTTTGGAAATCAGATGAAAAACTGCTCATTTTTGCATCCTTGATTTCTCCTTCTAAAATCTTTGTTTGAGAAGTAATATCAAGCATTTGACACAGTGTTTCATCAACAGATGTTCGTCAAAAATACTCCGCTGCACGTCGTATTTTCAACTCTCTTCTTGGTGTTTCATCTGGTGATGAAACCCTGCGTCTCATGCTTGATATATTACTTAAATGATATCTTGCAGCAGAATGTCTAGTACTTAAACACTTAGAACTTGTTTTGTTTTGTTTGTAAACAGGTAGACAGTCTGTATCTCCATCATCCTAAGTCAAGAATAGATGTTACACAGGAAACAAGACTAAAACTTACATCACAACAAGTTGCAGATTGGAAACAAGAATTAGGTAGGGACACCCAAGATAGGTTATCATCAACAAACCTGTTGACAACATGTCCTGATAAATGGCCGGCTTGGCCGATATGGAGAATGCTACCCAATAATATGGTTTTGTTTTAAGTGCATAAATTTGGAATTGACTTTATCTTAGGTGTGGTGGAAAGGAGATACCCTACCCTTTACAAGGAAACATAATTCTGGGTGGATTTGTTTTTCGATAATTATGCAACCTTACGTCTGAACCGTTCGTTGTGTTGAAAATAATGTAACCAAATACAGTTAACCAAAGGAATGGCCAGAACTTTCCCAGAAGTCAAATAGCAGGGATGTTGAACATGAGCACAATGATAATTCAACAAATACTAGAAAAAGGGAGTAGGTCAAACAAGAAAACGAATTTCAAACCGAGTGGTATAAAAAAGGTCAAATAGTTTGGCCCTGTTTCAAACCAAGTAATACCAAAAAAAATTTATGTATTTTGGCCCTGTTTCTTTAAAAAGGGCCCTGTATAACTTAACAAGAGCGTCCATATGGCTTTTATTGGCCAATTAGAAAAAATCCTTGAAATGCAACTGAGGGCACAATGCTTGTTGAGTTACAAAAAGGAGATAATTTAGCGTTTTTCCTTGTGCTGGTGCCCTCTCTTAGCTTCTCATGTCCTACGGCTTCATGGCCTCTTGCTGCTCACATTTTTCCAATACCACTTCACTTAATTCGGAAAAAAAATACACTAGATTGTTTGTAGTACAGCGGAAAACACACTACTCTTGATCCTGTACTTATATCCTGGACCCATACTTGGGTCAAAAAGTAGCTAGTCACCCAGAATAAACATTTGTAACTCACAGAGGTTATATTCAATATCAACAGCCAAAAAAAATTCATGGTTGGAGCCCAAATTTCCTACAGAATGTTTCTTTATGGCGATTGAAGCACATCATTTGGCTCTGTTGCCAGCATGTAGAAGACATTCACGCAGGCAGAGAGCTCACCGTGACTTAACACGCATGATTGAGCATCTAGAATCACATGAGAGTGAATGGATGGAAACGCCGATGGCTTCTCGAAATAAAAGCTTGTTGAAAAAATGGAGAGAACAAATCAAGGTACTTCCAGGTTTCGTTTTCTGAACTGAATGTATTTTTATTTCCTATTTAAGTATTTAACTAAAAGTCTAAGGAGGATTTCCATTTCCATGTTTTTCAATGATTAGTTCAGATATCGACGAGACAAAATTATAGTTTTACTTTACACACAAGTAAAGTTTTACCTTAAAATAAAGTTGTCTTTAAAGACGATTATTGTGCACGGTCATAAACGGCAGAGCTGTTCGCATTCTAAGGTGAACTTAAAATTTGGTCATTTCACGTCGGCAAAGAAATTTAGAGAAAAGCGTAAGATATGTGCAGTGTTGTTGCTTTTCTCATTGACCTTCCCGTTGAGGTCACCGTCTCAGGGCGCTTTTTATTTGTCAGAACTGACCGGCCAGGACCATTCCAGTCATAATGAGAATTTCACTTTTAATCAAAACAATCCAGTCAGATCAGTCAGATCCCAAATAGCATGCACAAAAACTCTTGGAAAAAAGTAGTTTTCATTATCAAAATGACTGGTCTGGCCAGCCAGTTCTGACTTTTGGAAAGCGCCCCTTGTTTCGTAAGGTTTCTCTTAAAAACACCAGCTACGGCTAAGCTCACTTGATGTTACAGGTGCCCAGAACGGAAAGCTAAAAATAACACTATAAATTTTCGGAGACATGTAACAGATGAGTCTTCATTTTCTACAGCTGCTTCCAAACGTAATAGGGAGCTTTAGTTTTTTGGAGAACGTAAACACATGGTCACCACGACGAATCACTCTTTTCTTTCTCCTTCTAAATTTGTGTTTGGTCTCCGATAATTTAGTTCCAGGAAAATTTACCAACATTCGACGTTTTAAGTGAGCTGAAATATTTGCGACAAAATTTGAAAAAATGCGAAGATGTTTTAACACTAACGTTTTCGCTTCTGTCAGCGTAGTCGTTGCTAAAGCCCCCTCCCACTAATGGGAGCCCTGTCGTAGTCTCCCTCACAACGATTTTTGTCCCGTCACGCCAAAAACGGCTGCGAGGGAGGCTAGTCCTGCTAGAGTGGTAGCCATTAAGAGCTGAACGAGTCAGACTGGCTTGGGTTAAGCTGAGAACCATATATTAAAAACAGGGATACCCTAAAAGGAAAGGGTTTCTTTGGACCATACCTACTCTGTTGTTTAGCGAATAAAACTATTGTTTCCAAACTATGTTGTATTTTTTGCAGAAAATTGAGAATGGCAAGGCCTGTTCGGATGTTGTTCTCCTAGATGAAGAACTTTTGCGTGGTTGTTTAAAATTCTATTCATTTTTGGTTACTTGGATTTTAAAGCTCCTCAACCCGAGTAAAAACGAGTAAGTTTATTGCATCAATAGCAGATAGACAGGTATAAAGCCTGAAACCACGTGTGTTAGTTTAGATCAGAGTTCAGTTTTGTTGTCCGTTTTTGGGAAAAAGATTGATTTTGTTAATATGTGTATCAGGATGGTGTTTTCTGCTGCTCTCACCCACACTCCAAATTATGGTATATGGTGGTAATAATTCCCCTTTTAATTTAGCATGTTTATACTACTGAACTGTAAAAGGTTTTTAAGAATTCTTAACTTCAGTAAGTTTCTTCCTGCTAAATTATTTTTGTGGCTTTCCTATGGTGTCTGTTCTCTCTACTTATAATAATAATTATAATAGTAATAATAATAATAATAATAACAATAATTTACATTTATGTAGCGCAAACCTCTATATGAATATATTCGGGTGCGCTTTACAATATGTTAAAGGTGACTCATGGTTCATACAGAATTTTTTGGGAAAAAATCGAGGACTTTTCAAGGACTTTCCAAGGACTAAAATCATTTTTTCAAGGACTTCTTTTCCAAAATAATATGACGTGAAGACCTTTAAAATGCGTAGGTGGAGGGGGGTTTGCTTGCAATACCTTCCTTCATTAAGGCACGGTTGCTAGGGTACTTCAAATAACGGAAAATGAACTATGCCGGGAACACCGAAATCACAAGAAAACAATTTTTATGATCACCAGGAAAATTTTTGTGTATTGCTTTTTGTTTTACCGTCATACCTGTATCTGTTCTCATGAATAAGCAAATAAAGTATTTACATGGCAGACTACAGCAGTTTTTATTTATGTCTCTGTTCATTGATCAGGTTCAGACTTCCTCTTCCACAAAACATTGCAATGGAACTTGCATCGCTTCCTGATTACTATGTTAGTGATGTGGCAGAGTTTCTTCTATTTGTCAACATGTAAGTACATTATTATTCCTTTGTTTACTCTTCTTTACAGAATAATTAAAGCTGTGATAGTACTGTCTATACATTATATTGTTCAACAACTTACCAAAGTAGACACTAAACCAGGGGTCAATGTAATAAAACTTTAACTAGTGTAGCCATTGTTTAAGGGTCTGAAAACAATAGCTATACTTGTAAATGTTTTATTAAATTGACCCCAGATAAAATGTTAGAACTTCTAAACGTATTAAGGGGAAAAGTTTTAAGAGAATATTGTTCATGAAGACCTATCAGCTTAGCAAATGGAAGACTACTTTTATCGTTTGAATATACTGAAGTACACTTTTAAGCTATTCCTCTCAATGCTTACACAATGTAGATAAGTATTGTTGTTAATAACCACAACTGAATGTATTGTTTGTTGTTTATTAGGCATGCCTTTTCAGTCCTTGAGGATCCTGTTATGAATGACATTGTTACTTTCCTTCTGGTGTTTGTGTGTTCACCAAACTACATTTCCAATCCTTATCTTGTGGCAAAAATTGTTGAGGTATGTAAGTTTGATTTACAATTCATTTCCTTTTTAACACCGGCAACCTTCACTTGACCGACCATGATAGCAGTCAGGGAGACTTTGATTAACGATATGATAGATCAGGGGTTGTGGTACTTCTATTTTGATTGAATACAGGCATACTATTGTTCCTTCGCTCTTACAGAAAAAAAGCTTTTATGAATGTCAAAATTAACTTTATTTTGTTTCAGTAGTTTTTGTAGCGCTGCCTGCGGTTTCAGCAAGTTTCATTTTTTTAAACCAATATTTCGCCCTAGTCTGTAAACTTTGAGATTGTGCTAAATTTGACGAAAAGCGTTCAGTCGTGTAATATATTCACCAACCTAACCCCAGCCTCTTCCAAGCCTGCAGAGTGGGATATTTTCACTGTTTTGAATAATGTTTCAGGTTTTGTTTGTTATGAATCCGAATATTCAACCAGCTGCTTTGAAGATTCATGAGATGATCCTCTCTCATCCACTGGCCATGGATAACTTGGCTCCAGCGCTAATGAATTTTTACACAGGTATGTGGGTACTCAGCTTTCATAACTCGTTGTCAATTTACACATCCCATCGCTAGAAAGTTGAAGAATATTAAATGTAATATTTTCATCAATTTTCCACTGTGGATCTCTCTTTTGTCTCGGACTATAATGGGCTTAAATTAAATGCAATGTAGTTGGTCATGCATGACCACACAGACTTTCAGCTAAAAGTCTTATTATGTCAAAATAAAGGTTGATTGGTTACTTGACTCATACTCATACTTTACCTACCTTCCCACCTACCTACCCACCTACCTATTTACTTACCTGCCTGCCTGCCTACCTACCTAACCTAACTAACTACCTACCAACCATATTACGTACCTGCCTGCCTACCTATCTACGTAACTAACTACTTACCTACTTACCTTCCTACCTACCTACCTACCTACTTACCTACCTACCTACCTACCTACCTAACTACTTGCGTACCTACCTACTTACCTACCTACCTACCTACCTACCTACCTACCTACTTAGCTGCCTGTCTACCTACCTACTTACCTACCTACTTAGCTGCCTGTCTACGTACCTACCTAACTACCTAACTACCTACCTACCTACCTAACAACCTACTTACCTACCTACCTACTTCTCTACCAAACTTACCTGCCTGCCTGCCTACCTACCTAACCTAACTACCTACCTACCAATCTACTTACCTACCTACTTGCTTACCTGCCTGCCTACCTACCTACCTACCTACCTAACTACTTACCTACTTATCTACCTACCTAGCTACTTATCTACCTACCTACCTACTTACCTTCCTACCTACCTAACTACGTACCTGCTTACCTACCCTACCGACAGACCGACTTTAACCTACCTAATCCTCCTACCAACCTATTTACACTCTTACCTACCTACCTAATTACCTTCCCACCGGCCTTCCTATATGCTCGCTTGGTTGCTTACTAAGATAGTGTGGGTATTAACATTGCCATTTCCAGGGCACCATATTTGTCCTTGAAAGACCCACAAACTGGTGGTCATTGTAGTTACATTTACACAGTTTATCATTGTCGGCTATAAGCTGTTTTCCATCCTGACATCGGTTAAGTAAAAAGTCGGAAATCATTGTCCACTGCGTAAATCTCTATCCACTTCTTATCATATTAGTTGATATACATGTTAATGATTTGCTCTCACTTCGTGAACTGATAATTTCCACTTAATTTCTTCTTTACAGATGTCGAAACAACCGGCAGCTCAAATGAGTTTTACGATAAATTCAGCATACGATATCACATCTCTATCATAATGAAAAGTTTATGGGACAATTTGACTCATAGGCAGGCAATTATGAAGCAAAGCAAGTAAGTTAAGCTGTCAAACCTTGCTTATGGCTTTTGATGTTGAACTTCTGTATAACTCGGGTCAAAGCCTAAATTCGCCAGTTGGTCTGCGCTATGTCTTTGTGTGACCGCAGGCTCATTTAATTCAGCAAAATTATGTACGCGTGAGCACCACGCACAGCAACTCGATTGAGAGACTGAGAAATTGACTTTCTATGGAGGAGTGGGTGATTTCTGGAAAGAGTGTCCTGTAAACAGACATGGAACGTTAAAAATTATTGCGTGGCGTTAATTGTCGTACAGTTGCACTAAAAAATAAGGAAAAATCGTCCATCGTTGTGGATGTTGGAAAAATTCTCTTCCTCAAAGGTCAATCGGCAGCTTAAGTCGAGTTACGGTTCATTTTTTCAGTGTTCATGCGTACAGAGTTTCCTTAAACTGAATTGACGAAGGCTTCGAGTGCTTCGCGAAGACTAAATTTACGCTATGAAAGCGTCTTTTTACCAATTTGCACGGGTTACTATCACAAGAGTCTGCTTTCTTCTTGAGCCTATATTCAAAGCATTATGCGTATAGTGATGTTTGGTAAATCAACGCTTGTTTGTCGTAGGACCGATCAGTTCGTTCGTTTTGTGAACATGTTGATCAATGACACAACGTTCCTGTTGGATGAATCACTAGATTCACTGAAGAGTATCAATGAAACTCAACAGATGATGGCTAATGTGGCCGAGTGGGAAGGACAACCAAGAGTAAGTGTCTTGATGATTAGCGTTAGGCATAGTAAAAACTTGCGGTTTTCCGTAGTAACAACAGTATTTTGCTGTCATAGGAAGTGCGTACTTCTCGGCTGAGGCAGCTAGCAACAGATGAACGTCAGTGTCGCTCATACCTAACTCTTGCTACTGAAACTTTGGAAATGATGTTTTACCTTACTAGACATGTACAAGGACCTTTCCTCAGACCTGTGAGTATCAGTGCTTATCGCCTAATCACTTAATATACTTGAGCATACGTATCGCCTACTCTCCAATGGCAAGTTCCCTGAGATTATTCAGTAGTACAATGTATATGCAGACGCTGAGGGGGCCATAGAAAGTGTCCGTATTAAGCCGGTTGAATTTTAATAGAGAAAAAGTAAGGGCTTTCTTTCCTCAGGGGCAAAGCAAACTGTCCATCATAATGAGGTATTCGTAAGGCGGTTTTTGACTGTATTCAGAATCTACACGGAGTTTACCTAAAAATAATGCAGTGATAATGAAGGCGGTGGCTGCGGTGCTTTTGATGGGTGACGATAGTGAATGTGATGATGATGATAGTGGTGGTGGTGGTGGTGGTTGTGATGGGTGATTATAATGATACAGTAGTGATGATGATGATGATGATGATAGTGGTCAGTTGATAAGTGTAACGTTTCTTGCAGGAACTGATCGATCGTATAGCAGCTATGTTAAATTTTAACCTTCAGCAACTTTGTGGACCAAAATGCAGAAATCTGAAGGTACTGTGCAACTTCTTTTTTCACTTTTAGTAATAATCGTCGTAGTTTTATTGACTGGGATAATCAAGTAAATTGGCCACCGTAAAGAGCGAATGCGACAAAGGGCTAGCGTTTGAAACGCCCGCTTTGAGCCTCTGTACGGCAGCCATTGAACTAAAAGAACCCTTTTTTTTATCTGTTAAAGAAACATTGTCAGATGTGTTCCTTGTTTAAATGGTATACAGCTTTGATTCATTTATAGCATATGGGTAACTCTCAGGGATATAGCCTTGGCAATTGCCTGGTGGGGTTTTTTATTGTTTTTAACCTCACAAATAATGACAATTCCAACAGGCAATTCGAAGGCTATAAGCGTATGCTGCAAATGAATCTACCTTAGAAAAATTAATTCAAACCAGCAGAATTGACTGAATTGGAAAAAGGTGGTAGTTGGAAGCTTTAGGAGCATACTGTAGCTTTCTTTGTTTCTACATGAAAAGACTGAGAAGAACAGCCGTTTGTGATTGACAGTATAACGTATCAAATGAAGAATGATCTTTGCAGTTGTGAACGCAATTTATGCAATTGCGTAAGAAGCCTGAAAAAATTTCAGGACTTAACGGAGTTTGAACCCGTGATCTCGCGATACCGGTGCGATGCTCTAACCATCGATGGTTATGTGTTCATATGTTCCCGTGAAAGAGATGAATGTGATAGATGTATATGAAATAAATCATATAAGAACTGCGGAAATGAAATCAAATGAAGAATGATCCTCGCAATTGTGAACGCAATTTATACAATTGCGTAGAAGCGTGAAAAAATTTCAGAACTTATGTTATCAGCTTAATTGCAAAATTTGGCATTCCAAAATACTAATCACCACCGATAAGTCATTTTGTCCAAGAAAAATGGCTTCTTCTGATCATGATTGTTAATGCAGTACTGAGCGATCGTTGGCGTGTGGTTGTTTTTGTGTTTGCAGGTAAAAAATCCTGAAAAGTATGGATTTGAGCCTAAGAATCTGCTTGATAGACTGACACAACTTTATGTGAATCTTGATTCAGAAGAATTTGCGCAGGCTGTTGCCGGCGATCAGGTAAAAAAAAAAAACAAAAACCAACATTTTCTTTTCGTCCACTGCGGACGTTTCAGCTTTTACATTGCATTCTGTTTCATTGTTTCGTTTAGCGATCTTACAAGAAAGAATTGTTTGACGACGCCGCAAAACATCTTCAAAAAACGTTACTCAAGACAGAGGTAAGTTTCACTCTGTATAGTACTAGTGAGATCTTATTTTTTAGGTGGTACTAGGTTCACATCTTAAGACCTCGCTACACACTCGAAGACATGTTGCAGCGACAAATATGATGCTGCCACAATACCTAAGGGTGAAGTGTGATCATTAGGGTAAAATACTTTTCAGTCCTGTAAGTATATAAATTACGATTTTGTAGCGGAGATAGACAACCTGAGCCTGCAGGACAGGCTTTTATTATTTGCGTTTTTCAGGCGAGCAAAAGCCAGCGCGAGTCGAGCGTGGAGAGCTAGACAGGCGCGCTCCACTCCCAGCGTCTTGTGCTTGCCTTTGCTCGCCAAGAAAACGCGAAAAAAGAACGCCTGATGCGCAGACGAGAAGGCAAATGCGACTGGCAAACTGTGAAACATTTTTCTTCCGCTATCCGTGGCCCAAAGCAGACCAGTTTGAAGGAATTTGATTCGTCGCTGTAATCAGATTTCGTCTACCTCACCCGGCGCTTTATCGGGTATGTCTCACAGCGAGCACTTTTGCTACCAGTTTGAGTTGAGTTTAATATTCTTCAGTATTTCTCAGTCACAAGTTGTATCGCAAAAATTAACAGTGTATTTTTCATTTGCATTTTCCAGTCAGAAATTTGTCGTTTCAAGGCTTTTGCGGCTAAAGTGGAAAGAAAAGTGGCAGAAAACGCTGTCTTAGAAGAGGATTATGACGATGCACCGGACGAGTTTAAAGGTGAGTGTGTTATCTATTGCCACCCTGAAAATCTGGTTAAATCAAATTAGCGTTGTAAACCTGTACCCAAGTGATCCGCCAGCGGCTTACCATGGAGCCTCAGCATCAGTAGTAGTACAACTTCTGCATCATTGATTAAGATATTTCTTAAGATATTTGTGTCCCTGTTTTGCGACAGATCCGTTGATGATGACTCTCATGCAAGAGCCTGTAATCCTACCAACCAGCGGAAAAATCATGGATCGTCCAGTTATTACACGGCACTTACTAAACTCCGACACTGATCCATTTAACAGACAACCACTTACCACTGATATGCTGAAACCAGGTCAGTATGGATTTACCTTTTTCTTTCTTTCCAGTTGTTTTTATTCTATCAAGATATTTTTGTGATAATGCACAACTGCTCCTTTGCCGTTTTCTTCTTCAGTAAATACACAATGGCATTTTGTCAAAAAGAATTTTCTGTATAAGATGCAGCCCTTGCCTGTTTAACATTGATTTTGTTCGTTTACAGCTACTGAACTCAAGATGCAAATAGAGAAATGGCTGAAATCAAGAAGAAGCAAGGCAAAGTGATTAAAAAACAATTTTGGAATGAAGGAAACGTTAGAACAAAACAGTGGAATTTATTAAAGGGCAGGTCCCCTGTTTTAGCCTTTGCTTACTTGCAATAATTATTTCTTTTCTTGAAGTCGTTTTTCTTTTTTTTTCTCACCAACAGATGCCGTGTTTTGTTGTTGAGACACCTTTAGTTATTGATTGATGGAGAAAATGTCTATAATTAGCCAGTCCTACAGGCAGCTGTAAAAGGTTGTGACTCTAACCAAAGCTTTTAAAAAGTCATTTTATTCGAGCTGCAAGGTATAATTGCAGTTTGAAAAAGAAACTATTTGAGCTACAATTTACCACAAACAAGACTAACTACCCTAAAAAGTGCATTATTAAAGGTGACTATGTTTTGGTTCTTTAACTTCGTAGTTGATTCAGTTGTTGACTAGTAAGTCTAGTAAAGCTGTTTAAACCACGAAGTAAAGTACAAAAAGTAAAGGAATTAAAACTTATTTCGACAGGGTGGTCCATTCAGCTCGGAGGCTGGTCTCCATAGGGTCCCTGAGCCTTAAAAAACTACTTTACGTTAAGAATTTATAATTAGTACATTTTAAAAAGCTCAGTCTAAAAATACAATGATAGCCATTAAAACTGCCTTTAAAAACCCTAAACAACAATACAAAACAATACAAAAAATTACATTTTAAAAAAGCCTCAAATTTTATTAGATTCAAAGAAAACGAAGCTAATTACGATAAGAAAAATTTTCTTGCTCTGCGGCAGAAATTCTGTACTCTCTCGAGTTCAATAAAAAATTTCGCGTCACGAAAAAGAAGTTTGGTAAGGATAGTCTAATGTTCTGTCTCGTAGTATAGTAGGTATGAATGTTTACAAATCAAGGAAAATATGAAAGAAAAAATTGCGTGGAATAAATGAATTAAGACAGTCATAGAAAACTGTCAAGGTTAGCCTTGTGGTAGGAGCGTCTGCCAGAAAGAATCGGCCATTGCAAATACCTTACAGTGTATAGCTTCAGAAGAGCGTGCACAACCTGTGATTTATCCGAAGGGGCTGCTCTATTTTGTAGGTGCTGTAGTCTATCCATATCTTGTTATAGCAAACTGCTCCAGGAAATGTCGCAGTAATCAAATAATAGGACAATTATTATGTTTTAAACAAGTATCGCTGCCTCTTCTGTCGCGAAACTTCTGATATGGCCCAGGATTCCAACTGTTGTCGCCACCTTCTTACACACTCATTCCGCGTGAGCTTTCCAAATCATAAACTTGTCAAACACTACGCCTAAGTATTTGAAGGTAGTTGCGCAAGATATCGCCTTTCCGAGAAGATTCAGACTGAAATTACAATCGCGCTTTTTATGCCTTTGACATGTAAATAATAAGTACTTAGTTTTTGAAACATTTAAAACAAGCTCATTGTCCTTTAACAAGAGAGGATAAAACTTATCCTCTCTTACCTCTAACCATTCAGTGAACCTTTAATTCCCAAAAGTTGCCGAAGTCAAAATTTAATTTTTCAAATACCTTGTGAGGGTACCGACAAAGAGGTTCAATTTGAATGTTTACACAGCAATTTGACCACAGACTCAAAGATTAGGACCACCTTTCACCTTTCAATTCTCCAACTTTTACTCTGGGAGGGAAAGGGTTAAACACTGAAGATCTTGATTGATATTTTAAAAAAATGTAATTTGTTTACCTACGGTAAGGAGTTCTTAAGAACTCGTTGGAACGTGTCCTGGCGTTCCAGATCTTATTGAAATTTGAAAGTGTTGGTTTTTAAGGAGAGGGAAAAACCGAAGTACAAGGAAAAAAACCTCTTGAGGTAAAGGACTGGAGAAACCCAACAACAATTTCAACCCACATATGACGTCGACACCAGAATTCGAACCCGGGCCACATTGGCGGGGGGCGAGTGCACCCTGTTCACCCTTGCTTAAAGTGAGTACAGTTGAACCACCAAGATATAATACTGTGTCGTCAGCGAACATATTAACTGAACAGTGTTCTACACAACGTGGTAGGTCATTGATCTGTACAATGAACAACAGAAGTCCTTGGATGGACCCCTGCGGCACTCCAGAAGTAACGTCAAGCTCTTCATGCAGAAGGTTGAGAATCAATGCACATGAACTGCTTTCTTCCCGAAAAAATAGCTCTTAAACCACGGAAGGCTTTCGCGGCATACCAGGGCGGGATCACCTTCGCCTTTTTCCGTTTCGCCGGGACCGTTTTGTTGGCCGATAACTAAATTGAAAATGACAGACAAAGGAGAAGCCAAGGCGTCTACTCCGTCTTCCGGCAGTCCGTGATGTCACAACTTTCTTTCTACTCCAAGCTTGGCTAGTTGGAGGATACTTCCTTGCTGCATATTTATCCCGTCATTTGGGAGAATAGTTCATTTACTTCACTTATTCCGTCACTCAATTTGGCCGTTTGAAATTACAACTCCTCTGGACGTTCCTTTGTTCAACCCTACCACCACCGACTTGCGGTACCTTTACTTTATGGAAACCACGTAAGCGTTTTAGTCATCTATGTCCGCCTGTGTGGTTATTTGCAATCGACGAGTCATTTAACATGATTTAATTGGAGATCACGGTATACAAATTGAAACGCTTTATTAGCAATATATTTCTTCCAAACATATTTAAATATTGTTGTTTCAACATCGTACATTTAACCTGCTGAGTGTATTGAATTTGTGCAGTTTAGTTACAATTGTATTAACATTTTCTCCCAAAGCGTCCTTTTCGTGACTTGCCTAAACAAGTACATTTTATATCTGACATAACACTGTGTATCAAAAGGCGATAGCGCTCCTTGGCTGCGGGTACCACGGAGGGAATTCATTCACATTTCATTCAAGTCTAAACTTTTGATCACATCCCAGGAGAGACTAATTTCCAAATACGTACTGTTTTAATCATAATCGACATATTCTAGCAATACTGATTATGTCAGCTGGATTTATCATTTTTTATAAATAGCGAAGTGTAAAATGCGAAACCTCGCGTGTGCTTTGTAGCCTCAGTTTTGACGGTGTTTTTTCATAATTTTTCCGTGCTTATAATACATCTTTGGATATTTCCTGTTTTGTTGCAAGATATTTTTCTCTGTTCTAAACATTTAAAACTGAATTCTTCTAACAAAGAAGAAATTTCACTGCAAGTGTACACCTTGTAAAGTTCTTCGAAACATCTTTGGTCAGGTGCTTCCGAATTGCACCAACGCCAAAATCTAGTGAAAACAAGGAGATTACGAAATAAACCAAATTAAGTACAAGCTGGGCGACGATATTATCGTCTGTTGTATCGAGGATCGTTAAAGGTCGCCTTAATATCGGCCACCTGGCCTCGCAGTGTCGTGGCCAACCAAATCGTTAAGATCTGTAAAAAAAGGATTCCAAATGAAACAACGCCAATGGTGATCAAATTATTCTGAAACCATTCCACAGCAGTGGTAAGACAGCCTATTTTATAGATCTTTTCGTCTCGTTCGATATCCTCCATTTTTCCAACTCCAAATCCGCACTGGCTGTTTATCCTCTCCTCCTCTGTTTTGCAGCACGTTCGAGGAACTCCGCAGGCTTCAGGTCCCTTCGAAGAGCAGTTGAAATAAATATTTGCCTGCCAATCCGTATAGGAATTAATTCCGCAACATGTGAACTCTGTTTGGGTCGTTTCTATGACTAACTGTAAGTCGGGGTTGTCGCGGTACAAAACAATCGCTTTCTTCAACTTGTCTTCAATCCTGGTCTGCAACATATTACGGAACACAAAACCTAGCACTCCGCAAGCGACTTCAATGAGCAGGAGTACGCCTATTATGCTAGCGTAACAGCAAAGCATGCATGTATTCTCTCGCAAAGCACCAAGGCAGCCCAAGAAGGTAATTAAAAACAGAGTTCCACCAAGAATCACGAAAAGTACTGCAGGATCAAACGATAGATCACTTAAATTCTGGTAAGCGTCTTTCTTCTCAACCATGATGTAAACACCAACAGCAAGAATTAACACTGCGGCCAACCAGAAGAAGACATTCATGAAAAACAGCGTGTACTTTATGCATTTTGATGGATCCTCTGGGGAAGCTGGTCTTGGGCCAACTCGACGTTTATTCTGCATACTATGATAACTGATGTTGCTTTTCTGTCTCTCTCACGAGTGTTTAGGTCACGTAGCTGACAAGTACTGATGAGGGCCTTCTAATCTTTTCACTTGGCTGTGATCGTCGTTTGCAGTTGCCTATCAGAAATTTCCCACACACGAAAAGGACCAGTTCAATAAGATACAAGCGATTTTAAGACCTACAAAAAATGGAAATTGTTTGATTATGGCTATGTTGGAAATCGAAAAAATGGAAAATTGATATAGGATTAACGCTTAAATCTTAAAAAGTTCCGTGAACTTACTCACGATTTCGATTCGACTAAATACTGCACGAATTAATACATGAAGTATTACCTTTGATGAGTAACGGGGAAAAAAAGACTCCGAAATACGAGAAACAGACACGAAAAGATATAATGATGCCTCAATATTACTGCGCTAAATTTGCATAACAAGTGAATACTACAGATTCATTACATGGCAACAAAAGTTATTCTGTGTATTTTTTGTTTTGTTTACTATGTCATTATTACGTCATGGCACGCTCGATCTCCCTCATTCTTAGTCATTTACCGCATTCCAATTTATACAGCAGGAAACGTTAAGTGATTGTCATCAGAAGAGATTTGTTCGTTTGTGATGAATGCCAATAAAAGGAAAAAAAGGATGCAGCTGAAAAAAGATATAAAGTAAAAATCTTGGAAAAATCTACAAGATGTTTATACACAACTCAACTACACATCTTATATTTCAGCCCAGAGCACTCAAGCACATTGACGTTTATCTTTTATTGTGTTATTTCCTCGACGACAAAAACAAATATTTCACATAAAACACTATAAATAGATTTCTCTGACTGTGTATGGAAGAAAATTACTATACTGTTCCAGCGCCGTAGCTAGTATGAGGCCAACCGAGGCACTCGCCTCGGTAAAATTTTGACGAATTTCGCCGATCATTTTTATTTTACATAAGCGATCATCGGATATTTTTAACGCATCATGATATTACAAAGAATTCAGCAATTCAGTCAATATACTATGAAAAAATTACCATATCATCGATCTCAAGGGGCTACGTACGTTAACCCAAATTTTTTTTGAACAAATACTGATCAAAACCATTGGCGAGGTTAACGGTCACCCAGATTATGTAGCTTGTTTCTGATTATTGCTTTTTAAATTCCACTTAAATTAACTCGAAAAAAAGTTACCGAAAGGCCCAGAAAACGCTGCAAATCGCATTTCCGAGAGACTAAAGTTCAAAATTTCTCGGGGGGGGGGGGCATGCCCCCGAACCCCCCTAGCAACTCCCGCCTGCCTCGGTTGGCCGTTTGGTCTGGCTACGGCACTGTGTTCCCTTAGTTCTTCTTTAGCCACATAATACAACTCATTGTACAGCACCTGTCGAATTTCTAGCTTCCGTCGTTTTCAGACATTTTTATTGTTTTCAATTCTTCAAATACTTTTGTAGAATGATCGTAGGGAAATCATGATAATTTAACCGAATTTCAACCTCGTCCCAGGGCGCTTTTCCCTGGCTTTGGAGCCTCCAAAGCCAGGTAAAAGCGCCCTGGGGACGAGGTTGCCGAACTTTAACATAGGCACACCACCCTATGTACTGAAATTTTTTTTGAGAAAACCCACTTCAATTTTCAGCATAAAACAACACCAAATCTGGCTATTTAATGCCAAATCGGTTGAAAAAATCGGCAAAAGGCGATTTTCACTAATCTTTGTATTTCACTCCCCTTACGCGACTGTGCAACACCTGAAACATCGCAGTTTCTTTAGAAATTAACCTCCTCGTTCATTGAATACAGAAATTCCAGTCATTTTATTTCGTGTGCTTCTTCTTTATAACTGACATATCAAAAGTCCCATAAACTGATCCCGCTCAAAACTAGGTTTAGTTGAAGTCCTCTTTTTTGATGCCACACAACACCAAAGTTATTTTAGAAAGCTTTTTCCCTAACGCTAATCTATGAGGACTTTTTTAACAAAATAGTAAATACAAGGATATTTTAAACATGTAGTAGTCACATCAATGGACACTAATGAGACTGCGCCCTGTTTTGATAACCGAACAACCGACCACAGTGAGAGACTATATCAAGCGACTTATTTGTCAAAAGTAATTTTTTCTTCGGTTTCTATTTTAATAACTGAATTAGCATCTCAATCTCTAACAAACAGAACGGGTCAAGAGTTCGAGTATCCAACGGTTATATCGCAGTTCATATACGTTTGACTGTTTCTAGTATAAATCCAGTAGCTTTTTCAAGAAAACTCCTATAACTAATAGACACCGAGATAAAACAAGTTAACGCTGTAAAGTCAGCCTTTACCTTTAGACCCCTTTACGGCATCAGGGACATACTATCTGTGGCTTTTATTGCACAGTTTCTAATGGCTAAAATTCTAAAATGAATAAACTGGTGATACTTCAGAGCACCATATGTAACAGTCTTTTAAAAAAGACTGTTACAGATCAAAATTTAGAAATTTAACTCATATAAACACGGCATTTTTGTTCGCATTTTATTTTTTGATAAACATTTCCTTTACAGTACTTTGAATGTGCCACGCAATTCGCCCTTTGCAAGAGAATCTAATACAGTCTTGGACTCTGGATTCCAGGCCGTGGATTCCGGATTCCAGGTACCGGATTCCAGCCTTTGTTTGAACTTGGGTTCTTAAATTTAGCGGGATTCCAGATCCCAAACGCAGCGTGCCGGAATTCACTAGCAAAATTATCCCGGGAAGCAAAAACTTTCCCGGAGCGCCTGAATCCGGATACCTTACATGATAAGTCATTAATAAGAAATTTTTATCTGAAACTTTGCTTAGTTATGATTAATCGGTAACGGTGCTTCGCCCTGTTGAATGAACGGCGAAATTTTCTTTTACTCAGCCGTGTAATTCTAGACCGAATCGGGTCTGCCCTTAGTTTTAATTTTACCATTATCAACTGGGGGTAACAAACCCATTCAACAACAGTGGCGGATCCAGGAGAGGGGCCCGGGGGGCCCGGGCAGTCCCTTTATTTTTAGACCAAACTAAGGCCTAGCCTGTTCCAGGCTCCGAGATAATTGGGTCCGCTGAATTGAGAAAGTGCAACTTTTCGCGTGCCTTTTTCTTTCGCGTCTTCCCCAGTATCTGAAAGCCTGAAACAGGCTAACTGAGGCCCGAAGGGACAAAAAAAATTTTGGAGACCGCCGCCCCCCCTCAGGGTCTGGATGACCGCCCTTATCTCAGGGTCTGGATGACCGCTCCCCTCCCCGCGAGGTCTGAATCCAGCACTGAAACATATCATTGTGCTGATTGTGTCACCTTGAATTACTGAAAAAACCGCGGCAATTATCGTTGTTAAAGAGTTTTCACTCCCGTGGCCAGCAGGTATGCTAAGTTAAAGTTTTTACAAAAGATAAAGGTTGGCTGGCTCTCGCAGGAATGGTTTGGAACTCCAACATGGCCGCCGTTTGATTGGTTTGGAACATCAATGTGGTGGAGGTGACGTCAAGTGAAAAACACTCTATATAGTAACTAAATGAATTCTCAGTTGATGGTGTATTAGCGCAAACCTGTCCAAGACCGAGACACCACGGAGTTTTAGCAACGACGACGGCGACGGCAACGAGAACGTCAAAAAGGCAATAGGTTTATTGAGCAAAACAACTAGTTTGCCCGTGCATCACGCTTTTTTGTACATTTCTTTGCCGTTACTCCACGACTACGACGTGAAAATGCCTAGTTTCACGTTTTATGGAGGACGTAAACAAGCGACGACAAACTTTTCTTTCTCTGTCTAAACTTGAGTGCGGTCTTAAAGAAATAAACTCCAGGGAAATTGGTCTACATTAGCTATTTTCAGCGAATTGAAATAAACGTGACAAAGTTGGAAAAAACGCCAATTCATTTTAAAAGTGACGTTTTCGCTGCCGTCACCTTTGTCGATGCTAAAAGTCCCTACTGGCTACTAAACCCGGAACATTAACATTCAGGTTACGGCTTCAATGTCGATCTGGAGCGCGGAAAAATTTGTACATCCACAGCTTTCCTACTAAAATTAAACAATTAAAACACGTATTTACTAACAGAAATTAGGCAAGGCTCTTATTTCACAGCTTAAGATAGGCGGACAACGACGATTCTTAAATTCAGGAAAACAACAGCTGATTCAATGAAGAATACTGTGAGCACACCGAAACTAAATGAAGCAAAACATTTGTTAAGTCCCGATTGTCTCAAGTAACAATTGACAAACGTATATTTTTCAAAACTTCACTCTATTAATTAGTCCCAAATTTTGAATAACAATAGATTTCCATAAGTTCACATCAAACGTTCTTTTCTTTCTTTCAATGAAAGGTTTATCCCTTGGGAAGAACTAGATGAATACAAATCAATTATAAAAGCCTTATTCAATATAATGTATTGCAAAGTTTGACTGTTATCGTTAATTTCGATGGCGACCGTTTTAGAGTACATAGCTGCTATTTTGCCACGAATTCTATTCTCAGGTCACAGTATTCTTGCCTTGTGGCTTCTTGTACAGCTCAATCCTAACCAGACGATATTCTGGCCTTTCTGTATTGGTTTGGGATGCCTGTTTTTGGAGTCTATATACACTGTTATCTTCCGCAAGGGTGTAGAATATAAATAGTAAGTATTCGTTCTATATGAGTTAATAATTTTTAAGGCTTAGATGTTGTTGCTCCTCGCCTATTTTCTTAGAGACTAGATTCTATACTTCTCAGCCGTTTGAACTTATGTGTCTCTGGGAGCTTGCACAAAGAAAATACTGAAGCATTGGCGTTCAAAAGATCTTATGACAACATTTTCAATATGCTATGCATTATGCTGTCTGGCTCCACTTGCTAACGTCATGATACCACTTTAAGTGTTTCTTCATTTTCCCAGTTTCCCCTCTGATAAAAGTTGCGTAATACAGTAATAGGCCCGCTTCAGACGCCGAACTTTTAATGAGCCGAACTTAATTCGCATAAAGGCCGACCCAAACTATTTAGACCGCCTGAATTGATTCAGGCGCTGATCTTAATTCCAGCCAAACAAAATTCAAAAGAAGAAAAATCTTCATTTTGGTTAAACTGCTTGCAAAATACGTTATTATAATTTATGCATTAGGTTCGGTACATGAAAAGTTCGGCGTCTGAATCAAAGCCGTTGCAAAGTTGAAATTTCCGGCCGTCCTAGGCGTGAAGAACGGATGATCCGTTCCAAATTGAAATAGGCGTTCCTAATTGATTCAGACGCCGAACTTTTCATGTACTTAATTCAATGTATTAGGTTCGGTTCATGAAAAGCCATCGGCGTCTGAAACCAGGCCTAAATTCCAAAAAGCAAGGCCATCAACTAAGACGGGACAAATTCATAGTAGGTTGCGCTATGGCCTGTAGAAAGAATGTGTTGGGCTTTAGCTACAGGCTTAGCGAGTCTCCGATCTCCTCTTACTGGGTTACAGGTGTGCAATATTTTACACTCGCTATCAAAAACATACAACGCCAGTGTGTTAGGCACTTGCAGAATAAATCAAAACACAACTTGATTACCTGGTAGTCTTAAATCTTTCATTCAAAGAGAGTTTTTACTTGGCCGTTTCACTCTAACACGCTCTAAGTTGGGATTTTTCTTGATATGCAGACTGATTTTAGGGTTTACAAAGTCCATTATTGGGAGGTGCTTCCTCAGCAGTATTATATAACTTAATGTTGTAGACCGGCTTTTGTCAAAAAGGCTTTTTAAAACTATACTTTTCTTCGGGGGAGGGGTGGCGGAGGGAGAGAAGATCTTGATTTGCACATAGCTGAAATGAAATTCGCGGCGTGACAAGTTTGTAAGCTAGTGCTGCATATAAAGACCTAAATCAGCTCTTGCCAAGACCTCTGTAATAACGCTGCAAATCGATGTCTAAAATCTATCCCCAGGTTAAAAAAATCATTTTAATTTTTCAAGGCTTCTTCTTAACCATTTGTAATTGTAATTGACGAGGAGATTTGGACATCTTGCTGTGACGTAATATGATCAATAGATATGACCGGGATCGGGAATGGCCAATGAAAACGTTCGGGATTTCGGGATGAAAGGGAAATTTTGATCGGGATGGCGGGATTAAAGAACCCTATTAGGTACCCTCAGGAGCCTGGTACCCTCTAAACGGCTTTGGTTGGGTCGTAAGTTTCATTGAAAACCTCAGTCTTGGTTCGGTGTCTGGACAAGGCTATTTTTTTATTAACGCTGAAGAGTTTAATTATACGATATCTCGATATACTCAGAGAAATTACTCAAAGTCAACAGAAACTTTAACTGGGAAGTTTTAAATTTAGCTGTTAATCTCAACCAAATCTGGAGAGAGTGGAAAACCAAATTTCTACAAATTGTTGACAAACATGCTCCGATTCGCACTAAGCGCGTTGGATTTAAAAATTCTCCATAAATATTACTGCTGATTTAAAAGAACGTATGCATAATCGAGACACATTCAAGATTACAGCAATCAACTCGAATGATCTGCTTGGTTGGGCCAAATTCAAAAGAATGCGTAATAAAATCAATACTGAAATTAAAGCTGCTATACTATTTTACAGTAATAGGTTTATCGAAACCAATGGCGACCCCTGTAAAAAAGGAGCAGGTCATCAACGACCTGTCCTCTTGAAAAGCCGCCAGTTCATCGATTAGAGAAATAAAACTGTGAAGTCAAGGCAGCAAAATCCAAGTATTATTGTGACTTGATTTTAGAGGCTAAAGGGGATTCAGGAAAGATCTAGAAGGCGGTGAATGAGGTGTCTTCGCGCAAGACTAAATCCTCGAGCCCACAATGTATCGTAGTTGATGGTGTTGAACACACCACCCCAGCCTCTATTGCATCCGTGCTCAACTGTTATTTCTCATCCATTATGCATACCAAGATGGCTGGACGCGTTACCACGTTGTCCGTTAATTTTGGCCTCCTGCTCTGCCTGTTTCTTATCTTGAATGGCATAAAACAAAACAAATCATCAACGAAGCCACTAAGCAATAGTAGCAACCTATATTTTGCTTCCCAAGAAGCTTGCAGGATTAAAATTCAATCTTTTCACTCTCTGGCACGGCGTCCAGCAAAACACCAAGCAGTCGGAGCTTTCCAGAAAGGCTTTATTACGTGCAAGCTTATACTTCATGGCTCTCTAGCCTTGGCTCTAATAGCGCTTGCCGGAGATGTTGAACTCAACCCTGGATATAGGAGTTTGGAGGATGTTAGGAGTTCACGAGGATTGAGGCTTGCTCATCTAAATATTCGAAGCTTGAGGAACAAATCAGACTCGCTGCGCCTGGAGGGTTTGGATAACAGAACGATCGATATTCTTACACTCAGTGAGACTTGGCTGGATGACTGCTATGAAGACTCTCATGTTATTATTCCAGGATATAATTGCATTCGCCTGGATAGGTCTGGAGCCAAAGAAGGTTTTGGTGGAGTAGCAATCTATGTAAAGGAAGGCTTGCCGTTTCGTGTTAGGAATGATCTTTACTCAGCCGCAAATGAATGTCTATGGATTGAGCTATCGCGCACTAAATGTCGCCCAGTATTGATTTGTTGTGCATATAGAGCCCCCGGTTTTGACTTTGCGAACTTTATTTCAAACTTGGAGATATCTATGACGAAAGTTAACCTGGAAAAATGTGATTTCGTGCTTCTTGGCGACCTAAATGCAAATATGCTGCCATTTTCAAGAAAGAAAGAAAAACAAGAGCTTAAAAAATTTGCAACTTCACACGATCTTACGCAACTCATTACTGAGGCCACCCGAGTGACGGAAACCTGTCAATCCTTGCTTGACGTGATTTTAGTGAACAATGATCACCGCATCAATGACTCCGGTGTTGTTCCTGTTTCGCTGAGTGATCACTACCTCGTCTATTGTGTTTTAAAAGCAGGTGTAATTAAGGCACCACCGAAGACAATTGAATACCGCTCTTATAAAAACTTTGATGCGAACACCTTCCTAGCGGACTTGAATAACGTCCCATGGCACATCATTGAAAACGAGGAAGACATCGACGACGCCGTGTTTATTTGGAATCACTTGTTTTCTGAAATAGCTGACCTGCATGCGCCCGTGAAAAGGCGAAGAATACGAGGTGTTCCGCTCCCGTGGTTGAATGATACAATCAGTGAGGTGATGAAGGATCGTGATTTTCACCATCGTAAAGCCGTGAAAACCAATTCTGCTTTTCACTGGGCTCGCTATAGAAAGTTAAGAAATAGGGTCAATCGTGAAGTCAAGGCAGCAAAATCCAAGTATTATTGTGACTTGATTTTAGAGGCTAAAGGGGATTCAGGAAAGATCTGGAAGGCGGTGAATGAGGTGTCTTCGCGCAAGACTAAATCCTCGAGCCCACAATGTATCGTAGTTGATGGTGTTGAACACACCACCCCAGCCTCTATTGCATCCGTGCTCAACTGTTATTTCTCATCCATTGGCAGAAGTCTTGCAAATAAAATATCAGCTGCTGCTATGTTCCCAGTCAGATCGGCCACGATGCTACAGTCTTTCTCGCTTGACGAAGTTGATGAGAAAACAGTACTCAAGCATCTGCTTTCTCTAAAGACAAATAAAGCTATTGGCTTGGACAACATCAGTGCGAGACTTTTAAAGTATGGCGCGCGTGCTATTTGTCCCTCGATCACCAAGTTACTGAATCTCTCTATTCGCACTGGCAATTTTCCTGAAATATGGAAATGCTCGAAAGTGGCTGCACTTTTCAAAACTGGAGATAGGAGAGATGCGTCAAATTATCGCCCAATTTCTATTCTGCCAACAATGAGTAAAATTCTGGAAAAAGTCGTCCATTCCCAATTCTATGACTTTCTGAATTCAAATAATCTCCTTTCAAGCAAACAATTTGGCTTCCGTCCCAAACTGTCTACAACATCGGCTCTCACCAGTTTTGCAGATGAGGTCCTATTGCATATGGAGAGTGGAGAACTGTGCGGTGCAGTGTTCCTAGATCTGACCAAGGCATTCGATACCGTTGACCATACGATCTTGCTATCTAAATTGTCGGCTATCAATGTCTCGCCCAGCACTCTACAGTGGTTCAAGTCTTACCTGAATCATCGTAAACAGCGGACTGCCTGTAGCGATGCTGTGTCTGACCCTCTCCCGATGACCTTTGGGGTACCACAGGGGAGCATTCTAGGACCGCTTCTCTTCTTGGTTTATATTAATGACCTTCCGCTGGTTATAAAGAATTGCGAAGTGACTTTGTATGCTGATGACACGGTCCTGTACTACTTTGCTAAAGAGCCACACCTGTTAGAAGAGGCACTAAA